TTTAGCTTAAATACACTCATTAATTCAACTAATAAAAGCACTGCAAATTCCACAAATCTCCATTCTGATGATAAACATATGATGACTAGTGATTAGTTTGAAGTTGTTTTCTCTGGAGTTTAGGTAAGAACACCTGACTATTTGAGTCGAATCCGTGTAGGGTGTAAGACATTTATCCAGAAGATCACAGATCGTTCTAACAAGTGCATATAATAAGCAAATAATGACAGTCTATTTCAATGCTCAAGCAATCAATCATATTGAAATGTTGATCTTTATATGATAAAATGAAATAAGTTTTAAGATGGTGTAGAAGATTTTTGACTCAGGTGGATGATTTTTTTGAAGAAATTAGTAATAACCATTACCTATTAATTTGAAGAAAAACATCAAAACGATGTCCAATATAATTGTTCGACATTTGAAATATAATATTTACATTTGTAGTTTAAGATAACACTATGTTGGTATTGTGTTTTTAGTTCTACACTGCTAAAGTATGGAGCTTTTATTACCAATGAATGCTTAATATCCTGATACTCAATATTTAAGTGTAATAAAAGCTTATTCATTTATATTTCCATTTTTAACTATTCACATTGAAGTGAATCTCGTTGGTTTTGTCCACATACTTCAGCAATGCAGAACTAAAAACACAATACTAACATAGTGTTATCTTAAACTACAAATGTAAATATTATATTTAAAATGTCGAACAATTATATTGGACATCGTTTTGATGTTTTTCTTCAAATTAATAGGTAATGGTTATTACTAATTTCTTCAAAAAAATCATCCACCTGAGTTAAAAATCTTCTACACCATCTTAAAACTTATTTCATTTTATCATACACATACACGAGGGGAAAGCCAAGGTCCCCAAATACACCACGGAGAACACCAATCGAATCACTCTTGATGGCGAAACTCTGGATGATGTAGAATCCTTCACATATCTGAGAAGTATCATTGATGAACAAGGAGGACCAGATGCAGAGGTGAAGTCGAGGATCAGTAAAGCAAGGGCCGCATCCTTACAATTAAGGGACATATTTAACTCAAAACAACTTTCAACCAATATCAAAGTCAGAATATCCAATATGAACGTTAAAACAGTTCTACTTTACGGAGCTGAAATTTGAAGAACTATTGCAATCATAATCAATAAGGCACAAGTTTTTATGCATGATACTCAACATCAAATGACCGGATACCGTCAGCAACAGCTTCTGTGGTCAAAAACAAATTAGCATCCGTCTGAAGAGAAAACTAGAAAAACACGATGGAAATGGATAGAACATACATTGCACAATTCATCAAAATGCATCACGAGGCAAGTCCTGACTTGAAATCCTGAAAGGAAGCGGAAGTGCAGAAGTCCAAAAATACATATTAGGTCGGGAAATAGAGGCAAATATGAAAAGGATGAATGAGAACTGGAAAGGGCTGAAAAGGATCGCTCAGGACAGAGTTGGATGAAGAGGGCTGGTGGGCAGCATATGCTCCTCCACGAGGAGTAACGGACGCAAGTAAGTAAGTAATGTCATCTAACTGAAGTCGTTTTATATAAACAGTGGCAATTTTACGGATGACTGAAATCAACTATCATCTGAATTGGCTGAGTATTGTAGTTTCTGTGAGAGTTGTTTCTCTGTGCTCAATACCATGCAGGAATATTCAGGGATACATTTTTGTTTCGCTGCTTAAGAACCGGGCAGTTACTAAGAAACCTCATGGATTTTGAATTGACTTTAGAAATGATAGTATTTGCTGAGACATTGGATAAATTGAGAGTTGTTGTATGAATATTTAACAGATCTAAGAACTATCTATACACATTATCTCTACATTAATTTGTATGTGCCTTCGTATCACATACTTTTTTATCACTGATAACAATTTGAAATTATAATTAGATTCTGTCTTAATGAGCAACATCAATGAAAAACAACTAGTTTTGTTTAAGTTTAACCTATTCAATGTCGTATGATGGTGTCAGTTTAAGAAAAATATGTGTGAATTTGGAAAATAAGAACTATTCTTAGTTCTTTCTTCATAACTTTTATGAAATCTATAAATATCATTGTTATGTCCGATCGTGATAATAATAATAATAATAATAATAATAATAATCATGGTATAAGAATGAATAAAGTGATCTTTAACTAAATGTTATTAGAAAATGTGCGTTGTAATTGCTTTGCTTCCTTAATCAGTGACCCTTGTAGACGTTGTAATATAAGTCTCAACGGTGTTTAACATCAGAACACAATGAGAAGCGGCAACCACATTTTATTAGTGGATAACAAAGCAGAACTAAAAGCACAATACTAACATAGTGTTATCTTAAACTACAAATGTAAATATTATATTTCAAATGTCGAACAATTATAGTGGACATCGTTTTGATGTTTTTCTTCAAATTAATAGGTAATGGTTATTACTAATTTCTTCAAAAAAATCATCCACCTGAGTCAAAAATCTTCTACACCATCTTAAAACTTATTTCATTTTATCATATAAAGATCAACATTTCAATATGATTGATTGCTTGAGCATTGAAATAGACTGTCATTATTTGCTTATTATATGCACTTGTTAGAACGATCTGTGATCTTCTGGATAAATGTCTTACACCCTACACGGATTCGACTCAAATAATTAGGTGTTCTCACTTAAACTCCAGAGAAAACAACTTCAAACTAATCACTAGTCATCATATGTTCATCATCAGAATGGAGATTTGTGGAATTTGCAGTGCTTTTATTAGTTGAATTAATGAGTGTATTTAAGCTAAAACACTATCAAACAACTTGAGGCACTAGATGGCAGTTTTGTTCTAGGATAAAACACCAGAGCAGTGAGCATCCATTAGAATATGAAATAACTCACTTTATAGCTACTATCCTGACAACCGATATTAGACAACGCAATACGGTGTTAAAATCATAAGACGAATACGAAATATTTATTACGTTTATTATCACACCACACATAGGCCATCACAACCACAGGCACACAAATCAAGAATGAAATGCGAATGCCAAAAAGCAAGCAAGCGAGTGAGTCCATAATCAGCATTAAAACGTACTTAAATATATAATAGAAAATGAACGCGTTATCTAGTCATTTAAGCGACTAACATTAAAGGTAGCAGAATGTATATGTGCATAGCCGTTGGGCTGTGCTCAACCATACATATTCATTCAAGAAAGACAATAATGGAAGTACTGTGGAGTAAAAAAGTTGTATTTGTACGAATAGTTCTGTTTTTTGAGTCATAAGGAGTTTGTGTTGATAGACCTTAGTATGTTTAGATAAACATCATTCTGTTTTTCGGGTTCAAAACATCAAAAATCTGTCCTATTTAGTCGTTCAAACATTATTTCGGCTGGTGGATTACCGTGTTGACAGTTTAGACTGGGTATGATACTATAATAGATTAGGAACCGCTGCAGCTCCTCCCCTAAATTATCGTCTTCCATCCTTAAGAAATTTTGCTTAAAAATACCAACAATTATCTCTGCTTGCCCATTTGACCAAGGGGGATGCAGGGGAGGTCTGCAATGTTGCACTCCATTTTGTTTGCAGAACTCCGCAAACTCTGGTGACGTAAATTGCGTTCCATTATTTGAAATAAAAAAAAATTGAAGTTCTAAACCTACCAAATAGTTGTTTGAAACCAAGCAGTGTTTTAGATGCAGGCGGCCTTTGCCCCTAAATGCCCTGATACGACCGAAAGTGGGGAGAGCCACTCACCCTCTCAAATTTTCTCACATGGATAAGCATATATAGCTTCAGCTAGGGAAGTCTTACTCTTTTCCTTCTCGTGACGGGGGTGTTGTTTACGAAGTGAAGTAGATAAAGTGAGAATGTCCGGTGCATCACCCGGTTTGGTGGAAATGGAGAGTCCACCTAGGGGAGTTGGAAAACCCTGATTTCAAACCAGGGCTCCAGGATCCTGAGGGAACCAGTGACGTTTGAAGTACTTATTGGTCACCGGCTACCATTAGACTGCATCTCTTTACGATGCTCCACTGCCCTGTGGATCAGACTTTTAAGTCGAAGGCTCCGGGTGTGGCCGTCTATGAGAACCGCCTGCTTTGGTTTGGGCACCCGAGCAGCGTTTTACGGCCCCCACACAAATCAAATGAGATTTGTGTGGCGCATATATTTGGTTCCTCCTTGTATCAATATCTATGTGTTCAAATAAATAAATAAATCTTTGCACAACATAGTTTTCAGGCCATTCGGAGTATGAATCTACCACCACCAAAAAATATTGCCCGTTTTTGGTCCAGAATAATCCATGTAAACTCGAACTCAGGGCTTATTCGTCTCTGGCTACGGCTGGAATTCTACCTTTGGCAGATCCTTTGCATCTTCGGCATATCGATGATATCGCTATAGGTGTTCGTCCACAGCCTTATCTATGAATGACCAACTAATATAGCTACGCATAACTTCATTTATTCTGTTCACACTTGGATAACCAATGTGACACTGTATAAGCACAAAACCTGGAGAGATTTGGGGATGGGAACACGATCACCATACATCAAACAACTATCATAAATTGACATGGATTCAGGTATCCGAAGAAATCGAGGAAACTCACGATTAACTTCACCCTCTTTCCAACGCTATAACAACTCCTATTAAGTAAGAACTTTTGTCTGAATTTGATCGAATATTTCCACAGTATATGAGCGCCAAGTTGATGTGAGACACTAAAGAAGAAGAATGACATAAGCCCCGTTATAGGAAAGAACAAACAGCACAACAAGTAGTAACATGATTTGTGAGTATTTAACATATGAGTTGACGCAAGTGATGAATACAACTCAACTCAATATTTTACAGCCACCATTAAATACACTATTCTAAGTTTTTTTTTAAAGATTTTATTCTGCAAAATGATTAATTACTTTTTTTCTGAAAAGACTTTAACTTTATTCACACTAACTCGTGACCTTCAGATTTGGTGACAGCTTAATATTATACAACACTACAAAAAATGGGATCTGGTAACAGCACTCTTGCTAATGTGTCCAAGGATGAGCCACTACAAAGGTTTGTAGGGACTGATGGAATACCACCTAACAGTGATTATTGGAGGGAATTTTTGTCTTCAGTTGGCTCAACAACGAAAAGCAGGTGTGTGAACTTAATTATCAGCTTACCAAACTCTTGATACAAGCTCTCTTATAGACTTTGAAAAAGCAAATAAAAGTTTGCTAAAGGATTTGAAGAAAAATAACCTTCACTCCCGTAACATTCCCAACCTCACGCAATTTCTTATATCAAAGATGTCAGAATTAATAGCCTCATCAGACATGTAGATTTTTTTAACAATCGACCTGCATTTTTAGATGCGAAGATACAGTATTAATTGCTCAAAATGGACTACTTATTCTACGTTTATCGGTGAAGTACTTGATGGAGCATTGCTCTGAAGCTAGATTTTTCTCTCACTTCTCTGTTAATTCTACTGAAGGTATAATTATCTTCAGTCAAACAGTGTTTTCCACAGGTCCTCATTGTTTATCTGTAATTGAATGTTTGTTCCCTGTACTTTTCAAGCTTATAACTAATTTGTCTATCCAGTAAGTTCAATTTTGCCACTGATTGTTCTCAGAGACAATACTTACTTGTTGCATTGCGAAGCTCATTTGTTGTGTATAGTGTTACTCTCTAGACAAATGTATAAAGAACTATCGGCTCCTTTACCACAAGTCTACGTCTCTGTTGTCTGGGGGAAGTGGTGAGTTTATTATAGACTATTCATATGGTTTTTTAAATTATCTCATTACCACTAAATGTTATCTCTTGCCACATTTACCCGTATCTGCTCTCCCTTCGGCAACACAGATAGTTGGTCTGGTTTGTTCGGAAATCGCTTAGTAAAAAAGCTGACTTCGCTTATTCTACTTGATAATCTTGATGTGTTAACCAGTATTAACCTTAGTTTATTACTTCGTCGAATTTGAAAGTTCTCGCAACCTAAGATACCACCAGTCGTAATGAATTGAATTCCACTCAGCTCATTAGCGTTTAGTTCAGCTCAAGATAGAAAAGTAGGAACTTTCTCATCTCTCATAGAGGCTAAAGTTTACCATTGGCGAAGTAGTACTTGTTCTTCGAACACGGCCGATAATACGAGCATCTTCAGTAAATCATAAACTATGTTGATGCTAGATTTTAGATAAGCTCTCATATATGTAATGTCTAAAATCCTGTATACCCCCTCCTCAAACCATTTTAAGTAACGTGATTTTTTGCACACAAAACCCTTTGAGGGTATCTAACAGGTTCTATCTTTTCAAATCATAGCTTTCTGTTGGTGAGCTTCTCGTAGAAACGTCTTTCTTTGTGCATTAGCAACTACAGTCGCCACTACTGCACAATATTAAAATTTTAAGAGATAACTTCTAGTCACAAAGTTGCAGGCCACTCGATAAATTGGTCTAAATCGTGGGTCATTTTCACGCTCTACCAAGTATTTTGAAAAAACAACAAGTAATCTACGGATTACCCTATGACTACAGTGTCCCTTGACCTAATTGCTACCAATAATCAATTTTAACTTCGATGCAAACTTTTCTTCAAACTACCTTAATAAGCATCTAAACATCCTCGGAGTTCCGACTAAGCGAACTATTGTTCGTCATTGGATGCCATAGTGCCTCCTTGTACCAATATTTATGTGTTTAAATAAATAAAAATAGATCTGACGTTTCATCAACACTTGTTCTATCCGGGATACAGTCGATTCGCCTTCTAGTAAAAGTAAGCAAATAGGTCATCTGAATTAGGGTCAATTTGCACGAGCATGTAAATGGATCTGGGATCAGAATAACGTTTTTAGATATCGGACTTCAGTCTTGTGCTACGTAAGACATTTTGGTGATGTAACCACCGGTTAGGTAGCCAGAAATATTTGATAAAGTTTCTTCCTGATGATAACTTGTTTTGACCAATATTACTATCAGTTACCGCCTTTCCTCTGTCTAGGATCTTTCTCATTACTCAAACATATATTGCTATCAAATACCGATAGTCTAAGTTTTAACAAGATTATTGTCTCCGTATAATTCTGAAGTTTGCTGATGTAGTGTTATATGCGAGACTGATCTTAATTTTCCGTCGTCAGTATAGTTGTCTTCAAGTTCTTTGTTGGGCATGTCTCAACGATTGACTACACCCTATCGTAGAACTGATCTTCAGCGTATTCATTGTAATCGTTGGTAGGCGCATAGCATTGGATGATGTTCATTGTAATGCCCTCTTTCTTTTTTTTTGAGGGAGGCTTTGGTGATCATGGTTCCATGAGATCATCATCCTATATGTGCTTTTTGTACCTGTTTGGATAGCATCAATGCACCTCCTTGTGTTTGTGGAGCATTTTCTTCTTCATGGCCGTAGTATATTAGCAGCCCTACTGAAGCTAGTCTTTGTTGTCCAATCTGCGTCCAATGTGTAAGACTGATTCTAAGCACCTCCAGGTCGTATCTTTTCATTTCTGCAGCAACTTTTATAACTCTCCTGGTCTCTTAGATTGTAAAAACATTCCATATACTTTAATTAATGGTTGCTCTGGTTGCCAGAAGGGGCATCAGCCTTGTGACTTCTGAAGGAAATCGGTTTTCATCATAAGACGTCCTAACTCTTCTAAATGAAGACCTTCTGACCCCAGGGTAGAGTTTAAGTGGTTTGAATTATTTTTTCTAGTTAGCTTTTTTTAGCGAGTTAGTTTTCTACGGGATCGGGTCGCTAACCCCATGTCCAACCCTCTTCCTTTATTCGGGCTTGAGACCGACATTTTGTAGAGGGGCTCCAGGCGGAGTTAAGATTTAGACTAGCAGTAACATTGTTGCTTTCTTTTTTCCGAAGCAGTTACTTTCAGTGTTTATCCGTTTCTTTACAGAAACGCAGGTATTGCATTTTAAAATCAGATCAACTATTTTTTATTGTTTAGCCTAATTTTCTGTTAGTCGTTTCCTTCTTTTTTTGCATCCCAGTGCACCTCTTGCTCCTGCTTTAGTTTACCGATTATTGTCTAACTTTTCTGAAAATCGTCCTGTCCCAACACTTTTACATGGCATTGAACAATACAATTTAATATGGCGTGCGGCATCCTCTATTGCAGGTATGTCTAATCCACTTTACTGCATATATATCTCCCTGGTAGATTATCTTTTTGAAGTTACTTGTGCAGGTAAACCAGATTTCATGCTTAGTATTTCCGGATTTAGGGTCATAAATCTGTTTAGTGTAGTCACTCGATAATGATTAATCATTGTTAAGATTTGTGTTTACCTAGTTTCATTGTGTACAGATTTTGTGCAGATAGGATAACAGACAGGGCTGGCTATGTCTTTAGAAAGTCTTAACATCGATGTCTGTTGTCTATCCGAGACCAGTATTCAAGACTCTAGTGAAGTGCGCCAAATTCGCTCCCCATCTGTCACTCCAAAAGGGTTGTTTTGCGTGCGTTTGTCAGGGAACCGTGTGGCATCTTCTTCTGGTCTTTTTGGCGTTGGTGTCGCACTATATGCTAGAACTGAGACAGCACTAATCGATTGGATCCCCATTAACAGTCGATTATGTGCTGTTAGATTGAAAGTTCCATCAAAGTAAAAAGAAATCGGTGTGAGAAACGATGTCTTTTCGTCATTTCCGCCTATGCCCCGACAGATCGCAGCCCGGATGCGATCAAGGATGAATTTTACCACCAGTTTACTGTTCTCCAGAAAGTGCGTTATTGTGAGATACTGTAGTACTAGCCGGAGACTTGAATGCTCAGGTTGCGCGTCTAGACACAGAAGAGAGTTGTTTAGGTGGCCGATGGGGACTTGTTGGTCTCAGGACAGATAACGGGGACCGTCTACTGAAACTGTGCACAGACCACAACCTGTTTCTGGCTAGCTCTAACTTTCGGCACAGTCATCGCCGATGTGCCACCTGGAGTCCTCCCTCTGCATCTCAGGCCTTGACAGACTGATCACATCACACTGATCAGCTACCGCTGGCGTGGTTGTGTTCAAGATTGCCGTTCTTTTTGGAGTACCTGTCTGGACTCGGATCATGCCCTGGTCTGCGCCAATCTGACCTTACTTTTCATTGGGCAATGAATTGGTCGTCACAAACGGATTCATGTCAGTAAATTGGTTCCCGACCGTTGTTACTGCCTTGACGTAGTGATCGGCTTGCCTACCGTTATGAAGCAACTGAGCTATACTGGCTGGAACAATCGCTCCTCAAGGTCAGTCAGTCAGTTACAACGTAGGACCAGGCACATACGTGCATCGGTCCAAGTTGCCACACATCATTAGCACAGCAAGACGAACACCGGATTCATAGAATTTATTATTTATTTATTTTAACACATAAGTATAGGTACAGGGAGGCACCAAATACATATGCGCCACATAAATCTCAATTGATTTGTGTGAGGGCTGTGATACTGCCCGGGTGCCCAAACCGAAGCAGGTGGTTTTCTTAGGGGGCAACACCCCGAGCCTTTGACCTGAACGTCTGACCCACAAGGCAGTGGAGCATCGTGAGGAGATGCAGTCCCATGGAAGCCGGTGACCAAAAGTTGGTTCATACGCCATTTGTTCCTTCAGGATACTGGAGCCCATGTGCACCATTGGTTTGGGGTCCGGTTAAAGCGCCAGACATTCGCTTTTCGTCCTCTCATTTTCGTAAACAAACACCCGTGGTGCGAGAAGGCAGTGAGTAGGACTTTCCTGGCAGAGGCTATATACGCATGGCCATGTGAGAGCATTTCGAGAGGGAGAGCGGACTCTCCCCACTCTCGGCCGTACCAGGGCATTTGGGGGCTGTTAACTCAATCGTGTTATATATAAAGGAAAGATTACATATGAGGATATAGTGCAGAAAGAAAAAATTAGTTTGTAGAAAAAAAGTTATGAAATAATTTTAGTCTCATAGTTTAAGGGAAGACAGAGAGTGTATACATTTACACCATCGTGATCCATTCTGATCCATGTCACACAGTCTCCAACCGTTGATTACAATAGTCACGCGGACCCCAACCAAGTAGTCTGCATTTACCAACATTGCTCAGACCAGAAGTTAGTGACTTCAAGCACCGATGCCACGTTTTGGTTTGGCCGATCCTAACTTCCTTACAACCATCCCCAACTTTAATCAGCATTGCGCGTCGTGGTCATCAGTGTTCAGGCATATGTAACACGTGGCCCAACCAGTCGATGAAGATTCACATCGCCATAGGTGACGAAATCTGGCAAAGGCCAAACGAGCTTTTCGAATCCGTGCTGAGATTTCTTCAGACACCAACCCATTAGGGCTGATCAAACTTCCAAGAAAAGTGAAGTTGTCAACGCGTTCGACTACTCCACTGCCTATCCTTAGTTCAGGTGTTGACGCAGACTATTCCTGAAGCAAAAACCTCCATTTAGAGGGGGAGAAGCGCATACCAAACATCCTGGCTCAGTGCTTAGTGCTACCAGAGAACTCTGAATTTTATCAGGGTCTTCACCAAACAGGACTATATCATCTGCGTATTCTAAGTCGACAAGTGGACCGCCTGGTGAAAGATTAATGCCCGAAAATTCAGTCGACAAGAGTGTTATTTCCATCAGCATGTCTATGATAAAGTTAAACAAAAATGGAGAAAGTGGATAGCCTTAACAGACACCACATGACAGTTCACCGTAAGCTCTCAGTCGACTAGTAGTGTTCCAATAAAGTCTTCACAAGATTTATGTACTTCTGAGATACACTTTCCAATGACAGACACTGCCACAAAACTTCTCTGTTTACAGAGTCAAATGCTACTTTTACGTCAAGAAAGACCACCATTGTCGGACGCCGATAAGCATGCCTGTGTTCTAGAACATGACGAATGGTGAATATGTGGCCAATGCAGCCACGACCAGGTCTGAAGCCAGCCTGGTTTTCTCGTGTTTGCAGTTCACGAGTCTTAGTTAGGCGCCCGATAATTATTGAGGCTAGTATTTCAGATGCTATATTAGTCAAACCAATCAGAGGATGATTTTGACCCCTTATATGTCGGGACAATAAGTGATTGCAACCAGTCAGATTGGATTACGACTTCGACTTCCGACCTTGGGTTTGTTGCTTTTAGTCTTACTGTTCTTCAACCGACCTGCTGACTGTACAGAAGTGTGATAGCAGTGAGGCGTTACCTTAAGACACCAGCATAACAGCGATGCTGCCTTCTCACAAGGAGGGGAGGGGTGGGGTAAGAAAAGGTCGACCCTAAAAATGCACACCTCGCCTTATCCCACGGATATCCGTCTCCGGCGGTAAGATCTCAAAAAGTACGGAGATAACATGAAAATTACTCACAAAAAGGTCGTGTGTGACCGACCTCAGGCAGCTGTCCCTTGGGCACTGCCGTCACGCTCTCAGGTCATTAGGACCACCTCTAATCCAATTTCCTTTTTAGGTACCTCCAGAAGAACCCTTCCACGGTGTATGCAACCGGGAATTGATAACCGCCCTCACACCTCTAACAGCACTCAAGACCACTGTATTCATAATCAACCTCTTTCTTCAGTTCCTATTATTCCTCATACAGTGACTTTCAACACTAAACATCCTCTTTTGACTTCCTCCTCAAGTGCCACCATGGCCAACCATTCTAGTGCGCAAAACACTGTCTTAGGTCTACTGAAACCTCGCTCCAAACTACACATTGGAGCCTTCAACGTACGCGCACTATGCCAAATCGGCCAGCAGGCCTCCTTGCCTTAAACCCTACAATCTCGTACCATTGATGTATGCTGTGTCTCCGAAACACGCATGCAGGATCCTAGTGTGGTTATTCACTTGACCTCACCTCGCCTAAACGGAGAGCCGACGAGATACACCCGATGACTAGTTCTCGTGGACTGGCAGGTGTAGGCATAGCACTAAGCATGAGGGCGGAACAAGTACTATTAGAGTGGATCCCCGTAAACAGTCGTCTATGTGCTGTTCGGCTAAACGGCTCTTTAAGAACTCGGAAGGATAGGGACACACGTCGTTGCCTTTCCGTCGTTTCTGCCTACGCTCCCACTGACTGCAGCTCGGATGGAGTAAAAGATGAATTTTACAGAAAGCTTTCTGAACTTCTTCAGAAAGCCAAACGCTCAGACGTAGTACTCGTAGCAGATGACTTTAATGCCCAGATAAGTAGCTTAAACCAAGCTGAAGACATTTAGGTGGGTATTTTAGTATTCCGGCTCAGCGAACAGATAATGGTGATCTTCTGTTGCAACTGTGCTCAGACAATCGTTTATTTTCAGCGAACACATTAGAATTGAATTAAGTGATGAGAAAGCCGGAAATAGATTCCAGGAACAACTGAGGTCACACTTAGGTAGTTCTGAGAACGAGACTGATCCAGATATTGCTTTGAAAAATATACAAGGAGCCATGGAAGCAGCAACTCCGCTTGTAGCTCTTCTAAAGTTACTGCTGATCCCAAGCCCGGGTAAGGGAGATGGTTGGGCATGGGGTTAGCGAACCCATCCCGTAGAAAAACAACTCAAACCATTTAAACTCTGCCCTGGGAGTTAGAATGTCTTCATTTAGAAGAAATATGACACTCATGGTGAAAGCCGAGTTCCTTCGGAAGCCATGAGGCCGATGCCTCTTCTAACAATCAGAGCAACAATTTTTATAGGTAGATGGAACATCTGGACAATGTGGGAGGCCGGGAAGACTAGTCCAATAGCAACGGAAATGAGGAGATACAACTTGGCAGTACTGGGAATCAGCGAAACGCATTGGACCCAAGCTGGACAACAAAGTCTAAATACGGGAGAGATGCTGCTATACTCCGGTCACGAAGAGGAAAATGCTCCACATACTCGGGGCGCGGCTCTAATGCTGTCTAAAGTAGCACTCAACGCACTTGTAAGATGGAAATCTCATGGATCGTCTATTGATGAAGCGTGTGCCTAAGAAGTTCACTAACATTTTAAAGGCCCTATACACAAACACCTCAGGTAGAGTGAGGGCATACAACCACCTTTCTCCATTGTTCCATTCAAGCAGTGGGGTTAGGCAGGGTTGCCCAATCTCACCATTCCTCTTCAACTTTGCCATTGATGACATTCTGAAAACAGCTGTGATGGATGTAAGTAATGGCGGTGTGTATGTGTTGCCTGAAGAAAGACCTCTCGACCTTGAGTATGCGGATGATATTGTCTTACGGTGCGATAATGCCCAAGCCATGCAATCCGCACATAATCAGTTGGCAATTAATGTCCGTAAGCAAAAGTAGTCGAGAATTTCGTGTATCTAGGTAGCTGCATAAGTGCTGGTGGTGGTGGCGTGAGTGATGAGATCGATTCACGTACAGTGAAAGCCAAAGCGGCTTATGCCAATCTGGGCCACCTTTGGCGCCTTTGTGATGTTAGTCTGGCTGTAAAACGTTGGATCCACAACGCGTCGGTGAGAGTAGTTATGCTCTATGCTTGTGAAACCTGGCCTCTCCGAGTTGAGGATGTTAGACGACTCTCTGTGTTTGATCATCGTTGTCTGACATCCAGTGGCAACACCATGTCAGTAATGCAGCGGTTCGGCATCGTGTGTTCGGGCACAGAGACGATAATCCCATTGGTGTCACCATCTTGAGACATCGGTTTCAGTGGCTTGGGCATGTTCTACGAATGTCGTACCGGAGAATTCCTCGTCGTGCATTATTTACCGACTCTAGGAGTGGTTTGAAAGAGCGGAGAGGTAATCAGTGTATGACATGGTGTCGTGGTATGAAAGAAAGCTGTAAGGGGCTGGCTTGTGTTGGTCCTTCACGACTCTCTGGCTGGGGTCCTAGAGATGATGCAACACAGTGGCTAGAGACGTTATCAAATATGGCTCAGAATAGAAGCCAGTGACGACGTTGCTGTAACATTCTTTTACTTTCTTCATAAAAAGGTGGTTGTATCTTGCTTGACTGAAAGAATTTCGCTGATTGTACCTTTCTGTTTCCCCCGTTATTATTATTATTATTATTATTATTATTATTATTATTATTATTATTTCACTACCATACACTAAACAGTGGTCGTTATTGTTCTCTTTATTTTCCTTTCATACACATAATATCCTTTATCATTTTCAAAAGTGCAAGAACAAACATTCTAGCATAAGAGCATGAATTCATTTTATTTCGTTGGTTCTCATCAGCTGCTTCTTCCTTTCTTCTATCTTATACTTACCGTACACCTCTTTATCTTCCCATTCTCATTGTTATTGTTGGCACATATATATCTGGTGCCCCGTTTGTACCAATATTTATGTGCTCAAATAAATAAAAACTCACAAGCTTCTGATGAAATAAGCGATGTTTAAGCAATGGTTGTCGGACCCAAATATATTCGGCTGACTTTATTCACCCATCGAGCTAGTAGCAGTAGTTGTGTTTAATGATGTAAGTTGTGCGCTATTATTGAAATTCATCTGTCTTCTTAATTTTAGGTAGTTTAGTTACAATCGTCACACTTGGTGGTTACTTCAGTCGCACTGCCAATAGTTCAACAAAATCAGATATACAGAACAGTCCACATGTTGCAGTTGTTGAACCAGTAAAAAATAATATTCCCACAGATCTTTTAACATCAGAATCAACTATCAAATCAAATGAACAGTGTCATCTATTGTCAAATGTCAGCTCACTACTTTTATTGATACTTACTACTCAGGCTGGATCTATTGAGAAGACTATATCAACGTATTCAGAAAATAATATTAAAGATTCCAATTCTCTAGGACGAAATCCTTATCGAACAACACTTTTTTCTTTACAAGATGAAGTTACTCAAAAAAACCAAGTTGATTCAATAATGGATACAACTCACATGCTGCCAAAGTCAAGTTAGTCTAAAGCATTAAGGCTTTTGTACACAAGTTCACAAGAGGGCACCAAATATATATGCGCCACACAAATCTCATTTAATTTGTGTGTGGGCTGTGATACTGCTCGGGTGTCCTAACCAAAGCAGGTGGTTTTCTTAGGGGGCCACACCCGGAGCCTTCGACCTGAAGATCTGATCCACATGGCAGTGGAGCATCGTAAGGAGATGCAGTCCCATGGTAGCCGGTTACCAAGAAATTGGTTCATACGCCATTTGTTCCCTCAGGATACTGGAGCCAGCCCATTTGCACCATTGGTTTGTGATCCGGTTAAAGCGGCGGACATTCGCTTTTCTTCTTCTCATTTTCGTAAACAACACCCCCGCAGTGAGTAGGACTTTCCTGACAGAGGCTGTATACGCGTGGCCATGTGAGAGTATTTCGAGAGGGAGGGCGAACCCACCCCACTCTCGGCCATCCCAGGGTATTTGGGAGCAGGTTATATGTAGCCAAAATAATCTGTTACGAATACGTTAAAGTACCGATTCGCTGTTCTGAATAAAGTTAAAAAGAGAGCTTTTGGTAATAAACTGTAGTCTGTGCATATGCAGCTTCACTATTATGAATATTTTTTATGTTCGAATAAGTATTTTTATTTTAAGTTTTATGTGATGTCAGAGGTTTTTATGATATTGTTACTGGATTGTTTTTCAAATTAATTAAAGTGTTAACGAAGCTGGAAGGAACCGTACAACCAATGCTTATTACAACTTGAATAATAAAGTTAGAGTCTTTAGTGCACCCTGATAAAATCACAAAATTCAACTGGAATAGCTATTGATCTCTTTGCGGTTTCAATTACTCTCCAACTAAAGATCATCAATGTGTTCATCTCACTATCTACTCCACAGTGAGTAACTTCGTATATCTCATGAGACTTATTATCGACATATATTCAAATTATCAGTATAGGATTATGCAGATCGTTGAATTTAGATTGGTATCATGGGTGGATCAATGTTAGACCACCATTGGAAACATGGAAGCAATGGACGGCTGTTTCGTTCTCATATGGGACTCCTCGGCAGTTCGCATCCACGATCCCGCCCAGGACCTTCGATCTCGCGTATGAACGCTTAAACATTAGACTGAGCCGGCATCCAACAGTGTTAATGTCTAATTTCGATCAATCCACGAAATCACGCAACCTTCCATCATTGTTTTCAGTGAGTAACAGTCTCAAAACAGATACAGTTGAACTCCACTGGTCACGGCTTCTCATTAGCACCCCAGGAAACCCATCGTGAAGCCGGTCATTATTGATCACATGATTCATATTACTTTAAGAAATCAGGATACAAATTAAGGTAGGGAAAATAAATTTCAAATGCATTAAGTATTCTCATCGAAACATTAAAACGACAAGTCGAGGTAAGAAATATTTCTTTCAATTGGTTCTTCGTTAGGGCTCTACTCTAATATATGGGTTTTACAAATAGGTGGAAAATGGATATCAATTATATTTCAACTAACCGAACTTGTACAATGCAAGTTTATCGTGAGGTGGCGTGGAAGAAAAATTAATGGTTGACTCGGTTGTATGTATACACGAAATAACCAAAGGACAACATACACAAACGTACATGTGATAAAAGGTCACGATCACGTATATATATATATATTATCCAATAAAGTGACTATTACAAATGCAACGGTCACATATATTTCTGTTTATATCCGTCCTCACAACTGCTTATTTTACTGTCATATAAATTCGTGATAAGATTGTAGATTTGAATAAATATTTATTGCATACCAAATGTGTTAAACGGTTACATTCGTCTTATATATGTTATTTGTACTTCAGCCCCTCGATTGCAGCCAGGTGGTGCTACATTAAATGGACAATTAAACATAGTTACTCAATCATCATCACCACAAATAAATTTCACTGCAATCTGTGATACAGCAGCTTCGACATTGTCTCAAGACAGTAGTCCACTGTTATTGTACCTTTTAGTTCATCGAAATACAAACTTTCATTCGTTCATTATTCAAGAGCGTGGTTATGAGAAAGTGGTAAGAAGTCATTTTTTTATATCGTTTGTGATACAAAACATCAACATAACAATTAATTCTGTTTCATATGCTATTGTTAGTTTCAAAGTGACTTACATTATTATTGAGATTGTAGGTGGAGTAAAATTTATTGGAAAAACATTACATGAAATTAGTTTAATTGGAACCATTGTATAATAAATATCATATCTAACAGACACAACTATAAGAGGTTAAATGTTATTGGGATGAATTGTAGAGGATACATACTCTCATAGTATATACTCTACCACCGTATGGTAGTTTGGATGTTGTTGGAACTAAGGTTTTTATTGGAATTATTTATACTACAAAACATCTTAAAGTACATATACCCATTCCCAATTCTATAGTACTGTTTCTAAAATGACTATTAAGTGATACGTCTATGGAGCTGTGGCTTAATGGTTAAGGTGTTCGACATGCTACCACTAAGTCTCAGGCTCCAACGCCCTCTCCACCTACTTCGGCTTGGTCAATCAGATAATATCAGTAGTTTTCACACTTATAGTCTGGCTCATACTCCAGTACTTGGTGAGTGATTTAGTTCCATTATGACCTATCTGTTGATGCTTAGACGAATGCTAGGATTAACATTAGTTTCATTAGCTTTTTGATACGGTATACTATCGCTCATGTCGGCAGGTAACTCGATTCAATTTATGTACTATTTCTTCTATCCCACACACCTTAGTTATTGGTGATTTATCAATCACAAGTTATTGACCGGCAAACATGTCCCTTATTTAACTAAAGATTAAATTTAGCAAGTTTGACTATTTGAACAGATATCTTATGATTAAGCTAGCCATCAAACCATCTATTCTTACAAATTGTGAAGTTTCAGCATTAATGGTAAGCATATGGATGGACTCTTTCGAAAGGATGTGCTAATAACTAATATTCTCAATAATTTGAATGTGTTTTGTTTGTCAGTTATGAAAATAGTATCTTGTTCTATGTACATTACCAATTCATTTGTTAATTTATTTTCAGCTTCCACCATTATTAAATATTCTATATAAATCCCAATCACATAATTCTCATCTTGTCTACATGGCATTAATTCTGTTGTTGATATTTACGGAAAATGAACAATTTGGACGCGATATACACACATCAGTGAGCTATTTGTTTATTTATTAAACACAAACATTGGTACAAAGAGGCACCAAATAGACGTACGCCACATAAATCATTCGGTTGGTGTGAGTGAAGGGATACTGCTCGCGTGTTGAAACCGAAGCAGGTGGTTTTCGTAGTGGACCACGCCCGGTGCCTTCGACCTAGTGGTCTAATCCACAAGGCAGTGAGGTAACATCAGGAGATGCAGTCCTATGGCAGCTGGTGACCGATAATTGGTTAATACGCCATTTTTTCCCTCAGGATACTGAAGCCCATGTGCACGATTGGTTTAGAATCAGGGTTTCCCAACTCCCCTAGGTGGACCTTTCATATCTGCCCACCCAGATGGAGCGTCGTACATTCGCTTTTCATCTTTTCACTTTCATAAACAACACCCCGTTGCGAGAAGGTAGTGAGTAGGACTTCTCTGGTAGTGGTTGTATGCATATGGTCATGTGAGAGCATTTGGAGAAGGAGAGCTGACTCACCACTCTCGGCCATACCAGGGCATTCGGGAGCCCTGATCAATTTATTTATGTGATCATTTACTCTAATACTTATCAATCTGTCTAATAAGTGATTACGTTAATTGTTTAGTTTGAATTGAAAACACAGTAAGGGATTTCTATTCGTACTATTTAATTACTTCTGGTAAGTTGGTTTTTGTATTGAGATGTTTAAATAGCTAAAATTAATAATTCTGTTGTAGTTGTCATTTGACTAATAATTACATCATTGAGAAATCAGTATCCAAATCAGGGATTATTACTGTTATAATCTTTAAAACTTCATTAGCTATCACATTGTTAAGTAATTTATAACTTTTACACATGTTTCATTGCAAACGTTTTAAATTAATCAAAATTGTCAACTAAGTCGATAAAAGTGCCTCTTAGAATCAAATGTTGAATGTTGTTGAACGTTTTAGTCATGTATAAGCCATAAGAAAAAGTTCCCCTTACTTAATTCCTAGGTTGTAGGTATCGTTGAAAAATAGTGTTTTGGAGTAGAATAATTTTTGACATGAGACTATAAATCTCTTTTGCCCCCAAATGCCCTGGTACAGCCGAGAGTGGGGTGGGTTCGCCCTCCCTCTCGAAATACTCTCACATGGCCACGCGTATACAGCCTCTGTCAGGAAAGTCCTACTCACTGCGGGGGTGTTGTTTACGAAAACGAGAAGACGAAAAGCGAATGTCCGCCGCTTTAACCGGATCACAAACCAATGGTGCAAATGGGCTGGCTCCAGTATCCTGAGGGAACAAATGGCGTATGAACCAATTTCTTGGTAACCGGCTACCATGGGACTGCATCTCCTTACGATGCTCCACTGCCATGTGGATCAGATCTTCAGGTCGAAGGCTCCGGGTGTGGCCCCCTAAGAAAACCACCTGCTTTGGTTAGGGCACCCGGACAGTATCACAGCCCTCACACATATCAAATGAGATTTGTGTGGCGCATATATATTTGGTGCCCTCTTGTACTAATATTTATGTGTTCAAATAATAAAATAATAATAAATCTCTTTTAAGTGAAACAACACTGTCGTAAAATATTTTCCATCTTCGTTTCTAATTTAATTGGTCGTACATTTGATATATACAGATATTTGATTCACGTTTTCGATTTCGTATAGTTGAATTATCGGCCAAAATGTGCTAGAAACTACTGGATCAACATATTAAAAGGTCTGTAGGAAGTTTTCTAAATACTTATTTTAAGGTGACCCAACCGCTTGTTTATTTTTTCTAACTAGAGGCACTTTGGATCCAGGCTCCTGAGCTTCACTCCTTTCTTAATTTCTCAGCAGCTGTACATCTGAAATATTTGGCTTTCGAATATTGGTTAGTGAGTTCAATCGTTCTCCACGCGCGTGAACACTTAACCTCTAGACCACTGAGCCGACATCCCACGATCTATATGATTATTTATCATTCTAAATTACTGATTTTTGTTTGTTACAGTGCGAAAATCCTCATAAGCCATGTTCAAAATTTTTATTTTAAATTAATTGTAGGTGCTCAAAACATGTGATTAGTTAGTCTTAGGTACCATTACCAAGGTGTACATCATTTTCACACATCATTATGCCTAATAGTCTCATAACCTATTCAGGTGCATTTGTGAAAAGTTTACGACATTTCGCTGTACAAGTTACATAATAGCCCAATTAGAGACATCGTGGTTGCTGGCATTATGCAGCGAAAAGAATGTAGATTATTGCGTTGTCGATTCCTGAACTGCTAACTTCTAACTGGTGGCCATTCAAAATTTGTCATCAGGATCGACCAAGAAGTAAGAAACTGAAACTTGTTGAAATACTTTGTGCTGAGAATTATGTATTGTACCAAAAGTATAATATTGAATAAAGCTATTAATAATAAATTTAGAAATATACACTATGACCACGTATCGTAATTGTGTTGCGGCCTACTGACTACTATGGCCCTTTGAAAGATGACTGGGAGGGGTCAGACCATGATGTTTCATCAATCATTGACTATTTAAATGACCCACTTAAGTACCTATGGTTTCCTTTTGTTTGTTCAAAATGCTACCTATATCATGATATTTTTCCGTTCTATGCGTACACTTTTGTATTAATTAATGTTATTTTCTGTCCTTGCTGTTATCTACTGTTTCATCAACTATCCAACTTCTCTCTTTAAGGATATTAAATGGGTTCAGTGGTCAGCAAGTCGTCGACTTTCGAATGTATCATATGGAAGCTTAACTGTATTAGTTCTTTGTCGTACTATTCAATACCATTTGAACCAGTTGAAGGTAAGATACGTTCTTTTACGTATCTTTTTTCGAAATTCCTTTACATCTGTTTCATTTTATAAGCTTTCTGAAGTTCGTCGCTGTCAAAAATGCATAATCACTTCCTTAGGTTTATGTAATAATTGAATAGAAATTCAATTTGTGTTATAACTTGTGGGCGCCGATTAGAAAGCAGTGACTTGTCGATCGAATCAATGACGCGTAAAACCCGTGCGAGCAGCCTAGAGCCCTGATTGGTTTCGCTTCCTGTCTAGCCCAACCCGTTAAGTCCAGAACACCAATCTCAGATTCTGCGATATGAATCATTTATTTCAAACATACTCTGTTTATATACCAATCAAGCAGACCACATCGTACCATAAAATAGGAAACAACATTTGTACAAGATTTGGCCAAATGTGGTTGTGAATGAGGGACGTAGTAATTAATAGACAGGGAATAATTGAAGAATGGTAAATCGTATAATAATAATTCTTAGGTCAAAATAAGGCTCATAAATAGAGGGACATGAATATGAATAGTATAGTTAATTAACAATTATACGATAAAAATATACGTACAGTATTGGTCCACAAATGGATCCCGAAAATTACCACTCATTATTCTCATCGGGACATAACAATTTGTAGAATATTTATTGAGTGCCATTTATCATGTTTAGTTCATCAGTTGGATTAATTTTCTCAGGAATTAATGGTTTTTTCTGGTCAAATAAGGTAGATTTAGATTTAGGTACATAGGCATCATTCATCAACACTAAACTGCTACATCAGTACGTTTGTTTTAAACGGCATAATTTTTTTCCTTATTTCCCCTGGAATTCTTTGTTGCATTATATTATTTGTGCATTCCATGCACTCGTACTTATTTCATATTGAAAATTCTTAGTATGTACTTATGTAATGAATAAGTAAAGTATCTATGGTACTGTTTAGATAAACCTTTAAACTATACATTCAAAAGCAATACAAAACAAATGAGTATAATCTGTGGTATTTTTACTGAATATCTTGTCACATCATGTCTTTGTCTGTATTGTACCAATTATTATTTTTAATTGTATAATAGGATTGTAGGTTTTAGATGTATTGTAGGCATAACTTCGATTTCTAACTAGCTTCATCATCTATCGTCTTCATATTTAACAGTTGAAACTATTTATATGACTTCGTATTGTGTTATGATAAGATAGTCGTTGAAGGTAGTCAACAGAAAACTCTGAACCCGGGTTTCGTGCTACTTAGCACTTGTCAACAAGGTGTACCTTTAATCTTGAGGGACCTGGTGGTCCCTGACGGATTCGATCCCGTGTCACCTAGCTTCACAGTCAGAGACGTTACCACTGAGCTATCTGGGCCGCGACCGACCTCCTGTAGGACTGAGATGTAATCACAATTAATTGATCACTAGGTGGTGATCAATGTCATGTGTGTCAAGTCCTTCTTAGTGCAGATCAAGTGCTATTAACATTTATTGACTACCTTTTTCTTTGTGTACATGATTATCTTTTTAGATGGTAATCAAGAGGTCATTTTAAAATCTGTTTTTATCTGTTTCGTATGAATTAAAATTTTAAAAAAAACTTGAAACATTCAACTGTAAACTATAAGTAAATGTTCTTCTTTATTAATTAGGATAAATATCTTCATGTTAATATTTTGGCAACTCTAGCAAACTTATCCCCCCGAATCACTAAACTTCATCCTCATGCATGTGATACACTAGTTGGGTAAGTAATTTTACATAATCATTTTTATATACCTTGCATGTAGTCAGTAGTTTTGGAAATTACAATATGACTAGTCACTACACCTTTTTAAGTGTCCTCTATACAATTAATTTCCAAATATTTTATCAGTTTAAAATCATAAATCGATCTTAGCTAGATTATCATTGAGAATCAGGAACTATTGTGATGTCGTTTATTCCTAATATGGGATTCATCGACACTACACATCCACGAATCTGCTATAGAAAATCGAACCTACAATTTCACACACGAATGCTTAATCTATAAACCACTAAACTCTCGATTAGTGATATACGTGTCTAACTTCAATCAATTCACGGTATTGTGTGACCATCTTCCATTGTGTATGATGGATCACTGTCTCAAACTCAACATGGCTGAATTCCTCTAGTCACAGTTTCTCATCAGAATCGCATTCTAAAATTATTCACTAATCAACTCATGATTATTATCAATATAGGGAGGTATGTGGAGATTATGGAAATACCTAGGACGAAATAGCTGTCCAGTTCTTTCTGCTCTTTATGGTAGTTTAGTTCGTGTTTTAAACTATGGAAGCTGTACAATATCCACAAATACCCATATGACGAAAATCCTAAGTAACTGAACCAATATATAACATTTATTTAAATAAATCAGCTTCTAATAGTTTTCTCAAAAAATTATTAACGACGGTGAAAATGTTTAATCTACTTTTCGGACCATATCCTACGACCGCGTGGTTATCTGTAATAACTGATTTGCCAATAATGATCACGTTTTCTGTGAAGTAGTGATCCGTTGTAATACTAGTGCTTTGACGAAAGTTTTATACGGATTTGCTCCTCTTTTGTGTTTTTCGCCGTACTTTTAAGGATATCTATACTCAATATCCCCTTGGTTAATCCATTCTTAGATGGTGTCTCTCAATAAATCTTCGCAGAAATGTTTTTTTGGATTAGCTGAAGTCAGAAGAAAGGAGAATGCATCTAGGAGATGTTCATTATTCTTGTATTATAGTTATCAACGCTTTGATCACTTCAAAAAATAACATATTTCAAAGCATTCAGAAAAATACATTAACCTGAAGAATGAATTCACTAGGCTAAAATGATTTTACTGGTTAGTAAATCGGGGTTACTTTGGAAATCAATCAACATAATGTGCTACGTGAAATTTGCAAGAAATGTTGTATTACGTGTATGACTTTCATCATTTCCAAAGCTAGAAATTAAACCCATTAATTTCTTCTATGTCAATAGATGGTCATTCTATTAACTTCCGAATTCAATGATGTTTTTGATGGCGTTTTGTTCTCTGAGCTGAAGTGAAGTGTTCACTTCCATCTGAAGTTTGTGCTGATGATGTCGTTCAGAAGAACCGATGAAAGCTGCACGACCAAACCATCCAGCTCAGAGAACAAAACGCCATCAAAATCATCCGCCTGAGCTACAAATCTTCTTCACTATCTCAATGATGTTTTCTTGTTTGTATATTTTCAGTTTACTGCAATTATTGATCAAGCGTCATAATAAAACTGTGGACATTTTGCGTAAAATGTCTGATGACAACCAATCACAATCGGCCGGTGAAATCACTAAACTTCTATCAAATACATCACTTATATCATCTAATACAGAAGAAGAAATGGTTCGTTTTTATTGTTTAATGATATTAAAATATGACCGTGGTACTGTATACTATGTCACATTCGTTGATTTCACAAACTATTGATCCTTTCTATGTTTACTCATATTATTTTCATGTAGTTGTCTTATGAGTAGTAGTGTTATAACCTTTGCTTCGTATAGCACTTTGTTACTGAACGTGTGTAGAAGATACTAGTTTCTATGTGGTGATGCAAATTCAGGCTGTTTTTATGTGTTTACGCGTCTTTGGTCCGATCGATAATTCACTGTCCTCCAATCCGCGCGGTCACAATATATAACAATTTCCCACATATAATTGTATTCAACATATTCGTAGTTTTGCTTAGTTACTGATAAGTCTTGCAATCTGAATGCTATACTCGGTTCCTAAGCTATTCATGTAACCCACAAGCTAGAACTATACAGCGACCTGAACACGAGAGAGAAGGCGAAAAGTATACGAAAGTACTTTACTCCAAGGTTCATTCTAGTTCAGAAAAGATAGGGTTTTTGTAATATTTTAAATGTCCTTGCACTGCTCGAAGATTCTGGAATGCTACTAAACATAGTAGCAGTACAACAACCAGCCAATCAGAACCTCTACATGTGATGTTTCACATCGTTTATGTTTCTGGATAAAACTTCAAGTGAACGCTGATTGGATGGAATGCTTCTTAATGTTTCCTGATCCTCGTGTGTCTTTTGAGAGAAATTTTCTGGATCATCCCAACAGTTACAGAACAGGAATAACGACCTATTCATATCTTTATCAGTAGTAAGTTGAAATATATGTTTCGGTTAGAGTCTGACCTTGTTAAGTCGTTTAAAATTCAAAGAATCAACGTTTGTATCTCAATAAAGCACAAATAAAGCTAAACGAAATTCTTCACCAAAACTACGGATTTCGTATTTGTGTTTTAAAATGAATTTCATCATTCAACCTCTTGTATTTATAGTTCAACGTGTGTAATGAAGGTCTTTGTTTAACTCCTTACAGTAAGACAATTAATATTAGCTTAATGTTCATCTGAAACTTACCTTCGTTACGATAACCTGTGACCAATATCTGTTTGTTTATTTTTATAGGTTCAAGAGTTAGCCTTACTTGAAGAAGTCATTCGAATGCTGTTAGAAATTATTAATTCAATTCTTACACATACAATGGTATCAAATCCAGATTTAATTTATTCTCTTTTGTATAAAAGGGATTCGTTTACATCACTTCGTTCACATCCATCATTTCAGGTTAGAGTTTTCCATGGAATTGAATTTTACATTATCGTTTATATTGGATCATTTTCAAGTAATATAGTAGTAGTTGTTGCGAAAGAATTACTTTACATAAACCCTTCCAGAAAAATCAAAATGTGAAAACTGCTCATTGTTCTAGACAACTTTAATTTCTTCAATAACCTGACTAAGAAATTTGCTTATTAGAAGAAATTTTTTGATTGAGATCATGAATCGACTGATGTTAGACCACCGTTGGAAACCTGGAAGCACTGGACAGCCCTCACATATATCAAATGAGATTTGTGTGGCGCATATGTATTTGGTGCCTCCTTGTACCAATATCTATGTGTTAAAATAAATAAATAAATTTTCGTCTGCATCAGATCTGCGCTGTTCATCGATGGTACTGACCAGATATCTGAAAGTTTCCGCCTGTTCCAGAGCTTCTTCAATTATGATTGAAATGAATAGCAACTGGGAAGGGTTTTCCACGACAGAGATGGATGAAGAATACTGATGGGCGGCCTATACTCCCACACAATTTATTTATTTATTTCTCTGAACACATAAATACTGGTACAATAGGGAACCAAATATAAATGCGCCACACAAATTTTCATTTTATTTGTGTGTGGACTGTGTTACTGCCCGGGTGCCCAGACCGGAGCAGGTGGTTTCTTTAGGGGGGCACACTCCGAGCCTTCGACCTAAAAGTCTAACCCACAAGAAAGTGGAGCATCGTGAGGAGATGCAGTCCCATGGTAGCCGGTTACCAAGAAATTGGTTCATACGCCAATTGTTCACTTAGGATGCTGGAGTCCATGTACACCATTGATTTGGGATCCGGTTTTAGCGCCGGAAAATCGCTTTTCGTCCTTTTATTTTCGTAAACAACACCTGTGGTGCGAGAAAGCAGTGAGTAGGACTTCAATGTCAGAGGCTGTATACGCGTGGCCATGTGAGAGGATTTTGAGAGGGAGAGCGAACCCACCCCACTCTCGGCCATACCAGGGCACAAAGTATAACAGACGTAAATAAGTCAGTAATGCTGCATAGGACTAACCTTTTCACTGCACTAAAACTCATGATTAGTATCTGAATATTGCATTCTATCTATACGAGCACCTGCTTCGTTATCTGAAGCATAGCCAATTAAGTTCCTTTATTCTAACTTCACTAATGATTATTATTCTTTCATTGAATGGTCTAGATATTAATCACTTTTCATCTTTCTAATGATAAACCCTCTTATGTCCGTATTTCTTATTGGTTAAAAAGATCTGTATTAATTGTTTCATTCCATTATAACACCTTAATATGCATTTTATAATTTTAAAATTTCAGAATGTCCTACAAAATATTGATATTGTTTTAACTCATTTTTCAAAGAAAATTGAATTAGAATTAGGACCTCAACCAACTCAACCACAATCTGTTATGCAAGTGATTATAAAACATATTGGTAATACTCAAAGATGTTGTAATCTCAAAGTAATTTCATTTATATTATCAATGATTCTGTTCAAATTTATGGTTTTTTAGGGGTTTTCTTTTTTTATTTTTTTCAATTTTTATCTCTACTTTAAATAATAAACAAAAAAAAACAAAGTGAATGACAAGAAGCAAAAACTAAACACAGATGGTTAACAGTAAATGATATTCTCAATGTTTATACAATTCATTGTTCCCAATGAAAATTGCCTTTCTCTGATCACAACTAGTTGCCTACGTAACTCATCTATTGTAACTATACAACTATCTGATTCGTAAGAACTTTTGTATAAATTTAAATGATTAGTTTTATAATATTTTGGTCACTGAGTTAATGTAAGACATTAAGGATAAATAAAGTAAGTAATATATTTTTAATATTCCAATGAATAGAAAAATTAGATTTTCTGACGTTTCGTAACTTAGTGTAAGTCACTTCTTCAGAGAATAAATAATCAAATTAAAATTAATCCAAGTTTAAATAGTACAACGGAACAATACAAGAGTAATATTTGATCAATCAAAAAACAGGATAAAGAACATGTTTGTAAAATGTCAGCAAATGAATTTCAAGTAAATCTAACATTTCTTTCTTAGCAATCTGGTCTATGCTTTTTCAATAACATATAAACAGACAATTAAATTATGGAATATAAATAAACACATGGTTCCCAAGTGAATTATTTACTATAGAGGTCATTTAATCATGTTAATACTGTTTATAGTTGGTATTTGTATTAGTGTATATGAGATATATGGTGTGTAACGATAATTAGCTTACTAAAATAATAATGCATATCCTATACAAGTTAATCAACTTTCTCTGTTTTTTTGTTCTCAAACAACAATTGAAAGTTGACAGTGTGTTTATTTAATGAGAAAATGGTTATAAGATAGAAAGTAGTATTAAAGGTAGTTCATTTATGAATTCTATTCATCAGTATTTAAAGCGAATTTCTCATATGAACTATATATATCCGTTATAAGCAATGATAAATAGTGGCTAGCAGTGGAATCCAACTTGAGGCGCGTTCCGTCCAATTTGGGAATCGTCACCTGGATGTACCTGCACCTCAGAGTTGATGTTCACTCTGGGACTCGAACTCACTACCGTCTGCTTCAAATGCCATCGCGTTATCCAATTAACTACTGAGTCCTGATAGCAACTTGCTTGTGCAATAGTGTGAAGTTTAATTCACTTGATATTGTTTTACTTGAATCTTCTCATTGATATTTAGGACTGCAATTGATCAGTTTCTTAATGGCATATGTGCATACTGTGCGTATTGCCTCGATATTGCCTTAATTTACAAGCATTATAAGTAAAGATAGATAGTGGCTAGCAGTGAAATTTTCGCGTGTTAGCATTAAGTACTTGTAGTATGTGTTCCTGTTGGCCCACCAACAATTGAAGAAATCAGCATGACTATCAGACAAATCAAGAGTGGCAAAGCAGCACGACTAGACAGCATTCCAGCAGAGGCACTAAAAGCAGACGTGGCGGTAACTGCAAGGATACTCCAAACTCTCTTCAGAAAGGTCTGGGATGAGGAACAGGTACCAAAAGACTGGGAACAAAGACTTCTAGTCAAAATACCAAAGAAAGGCGATCTCAGCAACTGTGACAACTACAGAGGAATCACCCTTCTCTCAATATCAGGAAAAGTCTTCAACAGGGTATTGTTAAACAGGATGAAGGACTCCGTAGACGCACAACTTCGCGACCAACAGGCAGGATTCCGTAAGGATAGATCGTGCACAGACCAAATCGCAACTCTACGGATCATTGTGGAACAATCAATTGAATGGAATTCATCACTCTATATCAACTTCATTGACAATGAAAAAGCATTTGATAGCGTGGACAGAACAACACTATGGAAGCTTCTTCGACACTACGGCGTGCCTGAGAAGATAGTCAATATCATACGGAATTCTTACGATGGATTAAACTGCAAAATCGTTCATGGAGGACAGTTGACAAAGTCGTTCAAAGTAAAGACCGGTGTCAGGCAAGCTTGCTTACTCTCAAGATTTCTCAATCTCCTGGTGATCGACTGGATCATGAAGATGTCAACTTCTGAAGGGAAACACGGGATGCAGTGGATATCTAGGATGCAGTTGGATGATCTAAACTTCTCAGATGATCTGGCTCTTCTATCGCATACGCAACAACAAATGCAGGAGAAGACAACCAGTGTAGCCTCAGCCTCAGCAGCAATGGGTCTCAATATACACAAAGGGAAAAGCAAGATTCTTCGATACAACACAGCATGTAACAATCCAATCACAATTGACGGAGAAGCTTTGGAGGATGTAAAAACCTTTTCATATTTGGGCAGCGTCATTGATGAACACGGTGGATCTGATGCATTTGTGCATGCGTCGATCGGTAAAGCATGAGTAGCATATTTACAAGTGAAGAAAATGTGGAACTCAAAACAACTGTCTGTCAACCAACAGGAAAGTTAGAATTTCAATACAAATGTTAAGACATTTCTGGTATATTGGATGGAAACCTGGAAAACTACGAAAGCCATCATCCAGAAGATACAAGTGTTTGTTATCGGTTGTCTACGTAAAATACTTCGGATCGGTTGGCCCGCCACTATTAGCAACAACCTACTGTGTGAGAGAACAAAGTAGATCCCAGTGGATGAAGAATAAGGAAGAAGCACTGGAAGTGGATAGGACACACATTGAGGAAAGCACCGAACTGCGTCACAAGACAAGCCTTCACATGGAATCCTTAAGGCTGAAGGAGGAGAGGAAGACCAAAGAATACATTACGTCGAGAAATGGAGATAGATATGAGAAAAATGAACAAGAATTGGATGGAACTAGAAAAGAAGGCCCAGGACAGAGTGGGTTGGAGAATGTTGGTCAGTGGCCTATGCTCCATTGAGAGTAACAGGCGTAAGTTAGTAAGTAAGTATGTGTTCCGAATACAATCTCATGTTTTAGAAATAGACTGTCGATTATATTCGTTTTCGGTTCTGTGCAGCTTTGCATACTTTTATTCACCCAGATCCCTTAATAAATGTATACAGAGCAAGAATAACAAGGTTCAAAAATAAAATGAATTCATTCTCTTTCACGGTTTCTCATCAGTTGCATACAACCAAAAATTAAGATTATTAATATGAATATTAACAAAATTTAATTGAGTTTTGTTCTCTGAGCTGGATGGTTTGGTCGTGGAGCTTTCGTCGGTTCTTCTGAACGACATCATCAGCATAAACTTCAGATAGAAGTGAAGTGTTCGAATTTCTCATTATGAAACTCCATCAAAATCATCCACTTGAGCTACAAATCTTCTCCATCATCTTATACACAAATATTCAGCATACTTTAGTGTGTGAAATTTAAGTGAATGTTCGGAATGTAACCAAAATCATTGGACATAAAGTGTATGAAGAAACATAGTGAAGATCAACGTGTATCACTATACTGTAAAGTAATCAATGGAGAGTAGAACAGATGTTATAGTTCTCAGTAATCATAATCACGTTAATAGATGTTGTGAAAGTAATGAAATTAGTGTCTAGGTAATTGCACAACACGATAAAATAAACAAGTATGTGAATATTAATAAGGTTGCGTAATAGATGAGTTTCAGAAGACGAAGGAATAATGAAGATAAAAAGCTTGTGGACAGGGTTGAAATAAACGAACTTGGTAGAAGTTATAAGATAAGTATCCATTCACAATGGCAGGGAAAAGTTAATCACCTTTTCCTGTTGTATATATAGATCAGGTCGAAAACGCTTGAAAGCGATTTCCTCGACCAAACGGAATAAGATCGCTGTTTTCTATTCGTTTATTATATTAAATCCATTACCCACATTCACGTCATGTCCACTATATGCAAAAGGTGTCTGGCTATTTCATTCGTAAATATTTTACTCTCTTTCAGCCGTAGGTTCCTGGATAATGTGTTCAGAAAACCTAGTAGAGGCCCTTCTCTCTGCCCTTCTTATATACTTGCTACGGCAGGTACATGTTAATTCATAAATATAATTGGATATGACATCGGTAGGATATAGATGTGCGTTTGAATCGTGTAAAAAACACTTGGTATTGTATAGTGAAACTAATTAACCAGCAGGAAGGCTTCTTTACAGTGCCGCCAAATATTTTATCCTCAGTATATAGGTGAGAATTCGAACTGGTTTTGCTTGATAATTAGTGATTCATACACTATAAAACTTGGTTATATCAGTTGTTATCCACTAACTTCTCAGATCATAGACTTAGATTAACATATAAAGAAAAGTGTTAGTCACCCTCATAAAGTAACATCAATTAGTTTCATGTTTTCCTCCCCTAGCTTATACATGTACTTTGTATTCTACTTTTTGTACCCTAGAAATTCCCAGATCTGAAATTTAAATATGTAGAAGAAGAATCTCCAGATGAATTTTTCATACCATATGTTTGGTCTGTTGTACGACGCCAGTCCGGCATACATTTTAAATCTGAATCACTATTGTTATTCTCAGCTGCTCCTCAAAATACAACTGAAAACGACGACATTAGTGAAGACAATGATAATGTTATGAATAATGGCGAATCAAATCATGAACAAGTATTGGTTTAACCATGTCAAACAAGTTTTTTGAATAACCCTCGTTCTATGAGTGTTTGCTGCTAATTCAGTTATTAAATGTGTTCAATGTCGTGTATTTGACGATTATGAACTTTTAAATGAAATTTTCTCTTTCAGCTGTCTGTGATCAATATCATGGTTTCGTTTGAATTTAGTTCCTTTTTTTTCTTTTCTTCAATTTTTGTTTCTAGTTACACTGATTGTCTTTTTTTTACAAATTTGTTTTCATGTTTTATTGAAATAGAAAGTTGTTTCCATAGGAATTCTTGTCTGATTTTTACCTTGTGTTAGTTATATTGTAGTGAACAGGAATACCAATGGGGGAACAATCGAATGTATTTGACAATAAATTACAGAACTGGTTAGTAAAATCTAACAATCATATGGTAAATGCTCGATTTGTAAAATGACTTAGACTTCCTTTGTTCTTGCAGTTTCACACAAATTGCATTTCGTTTCCATGCATTATTGTTCGGTCTTCTTGTTTCTCTGCTGCCAGGCATTTTGTTCACGACTCATGTCATATACTACTTATGTCTACATAAGTAGCGCATACCATAATATCATTAAAAATGAAAAGGTGAATCTGTTCACTTTCTAGTAAATAATGACTACTTATTTATATGAGATCGTAATGCGTTTACTTTGTTTTCGAATCAACACAGTCTCGGTGAAAATGTTTCTTTTGGGAAAATTGAACCGTTTGATTATCATCAAGACTATTCCTCATTACACTTTGTTGATTGGGGAATTGTGATGATTACAGATCGTAATATTGGACTACCTATCTATATGTTCTATTCTATCTATGCCAAGAATGATGAATGTTACAAATAATTTATAATAAGGACAAGTTGAGCAAAGAAATATTTCTTTTCAACGAGTTCCTCATCAGGACTCCACACCAATATACGTGTTCTTCAAATGAGTAGAAAGTCAATACCAATTAGTTGGTGATCAGTCAACTTAACAATATTGTTATACTTCTCTCTTATGATTATAACCCAGCTATTCCTATTGCTTAGTATTGTCGAACACAGATTCACTCGACAAGTCCCCAAATCAGAACACGATTGAACAGTAAAAGAGATTATATTCCAAATAACAAAGTTAGATGGAAGTAAGAAGAAGCACAATTTTCGGAGAAACGTTAGTATATTTATAGTTTTTACATGAGAATATTTCTAGAGTATTCTCCAAGTATCGACTAGTGCTGATTGGGGAAGAATTAACCAATCAGCGTGCACCAAAGCAATTGAGCATGCAGTAATCCAAACTGTCCCGCTAACAAATATAGTAATCGGTTGTTAGCTACACAACATTTAGAAAATTAAAGTTGAAGTAAATTTTCATAATTAGCTGTTTATTACAAGTAACTGCATAAGAATTGAAACTGGATGTTTTTTTCACTGTGAAATTAATGATAAGTAATTAGTAGGATGGATAGAGTGAAAGTGAGATAACAAGATTATGAAGATCATTTATAAAACCTATACACATGAAGAGCTAGTTGGAAAGAAATATTTCTTTGCTCAGCTTGTCTTTTCACTGTATCATTGGAAATATTTAATAAAATAATTTATTCATAGAGATTATGTAAACAAATAAGGTAATATGAGTAGAGTGAAGTAAGGTGATCATGAACAAATCTCAATCAATCAATATATTATTCGATTATATATGTATCGCAAGTTGCATAGTGGTTGCATTATCTACGGGATAGTTTTAATAGTATATTTACTATGCTTCAGGGCATGTTCATTAGAATTTATCAACAAATTACAAACAGTGATGCGAAATTGTGTGAACATAAGAAAAACGATTGTACGCCGGTTACTTCCAATCGACCGAATTTAATTGTTATCCGGATTACTTGAACCCTTTTCTTCTGAGGATAATACAGCAATTCATGGGATGAAATAGCAGTAAAAATACATGGCATCTGCAAAGAAACGTTTTATGTTGTTACCTAAATCTTATGCAGGTCGGTTGGACCATGTCTACTGAAACATAGGCATCATTGCCAACACACGACCGAAGTTGCATTTCTTAACAGTAATGAAACAGTCCGCTCCATTGGTTGGAGTTTTGAGGTATTTTTCATCATTAATAGGTGTACTGGATAGGTGGATGTGGTCTTTGAAGGCTCTTGATGTGAATAATTAGTTGAGTCAGAAGTTAAGAATGACCTGTCTTTAGAACCGTCATTTCAACTGGTGTTCGCTAATGTTGCTCGCTTTACCGGAAGCTCTCTGAATGTTTGCTGAGGACGTTTCTCCTCCTCAACTGTTTGGAAACTGGTCTGCCACATCGTCTTTATGCATACATTCTTTTAGAACTATCTCAAATTAGATTATTATTTTAATCACTATCACTGGTACAACTATTGTTTCCTTATATTAGTTTCATCTCACACTGATTTTTAATGGAAACTTCAGCTAACGCACATTTATGCTAGACTCTACGAAGATCATAACTGACTGTTGTCACATTCCTGTTTAATCAGCAGTGCATTACTGATGAATCTTCGTCTCATTTAAAGCTTAAAATATAAAAGTAATGGTAGTCTTTCCACTCTTACATAATTCCAATAGAGCAATAACCTATTTATAATTATTAGCTTTATTTAATATTATATTTTTGGTGCAATATAGAATTCTCAGCACAAAAGTATCTCAACAAGTTTCCGTTTCTTACTTCTTGGTCGATCCTGACGACAAATATTGAATGGTCGCCAGTTAGAAGTTAGCAGGAACCGATATCTGAATAATGTACATTCTTTTCGCCGCATATTGCAAGCAACCACGATATGTGATTGAGTTGTTATTTATTTATTTTAACAAATAGATATTGGTACAGGGAGGCACCAAATACATATGCACCAAACGAATCTCAATTGATTTGTGTGAGGGCTGTGATACTGCTCGGGTGCCCAAACCGAAGCAGGTGGTTTTCTTAGGGGGCCACACCCCGAGCCTTCGACCTGAACGTCTGACCCACAAGGAAGCGGAGCATCGTGAGATGCAGTTCCATGGTAGCCAGTGACCAAGAAATTGGTTCATACGCCATTTGTTCCATCAGGATACTGGAGCCCATGTGCACCATTGGTTTGGAGTCCGGTTAAAGCGCCGGACATTCGCTTTTCGTAAACAACACCCGTGGTGCGAGAAGGCAGTGAGTAGGACTTCCCTGACAGAGGCTATATACGCATGGCCATGTGAGAGCATTTCGAGAGGGAGAGCGGACTCTCCCCACTCTCGGCCGTACCAGGGCATTTGAGGGCGTGATTGAGTTGTACGATTACTAAACATAATGATATGTTAAAACAAGCAAAAAAAGATAATTTCAATGGTTAATCTCATGAGTCAGTTGAAGCTAGACCACCATGGAAAACCTGGAAGCACTGGACGGCCGTTTCGTTCTAGTATGAGAAATCTCAGTAGTGCACATCCACGACCTCTCCCCCTGCGAGATTCAAACCCAGGACCTACTGGTTTCGCGTGCGAGCACTTAACCACTAGATCACTGAGCCGGCCGGTATCCAACGAACAGTGTTAATGTCTAACTTCAACTAATCCACAAAATTGAGCGACACATCCACCATTGTCTTCAGTGAGTTACTATCTCACAACAAACCTGGTTGAACTCCACTGGTCACTACTTCTCACTAGAACTCCAGGATACACCTCATGAAGCCAGTCACTAGTGAGTATATATTGATAACTTGTTGAAATATCTAGAAAACAGAAACAGGTAGCCCAGATGTTACCTAGTAACTAAAACTGTATCTAGCTCTAGTGAGTGATAGCACTCAACAACAACAACAAATTTCCATTATCAAAGACTTTTTTTGCATACACTTTATTTAACACATTTAAGAGAAATTAGAAATTATCTAATAGAAATACAAATGCTGAACATATATGTATATATATATATATATACATCATCATACAACTATTTTACTGGGAAATCTTTTACAAACTCAATATTTATAATACATAGTAAGAGTAAATTACATATCTATGATTAGTCTCTTTCTTCACATTATATCATGAAAGCACTTAGAGTTAAAAATTGAGAGAAAAAAAAAACAAACAAAAGTGATTAGAAAAATAGGGATGTTGTTTTTTCTTCTTTTTTTTCTTTTCTCAATGTTAAATTCTTTTATTAAAGTAAAAAAAGAAATGCAGTCTCTTCTTGATCTAATTTAGACATTTGTTCAAGATTACTATTATTATTATTATGTACAATCATATTGGTATTGGATAATTCACAAATATTTAAATCAGTCTTATTGAATAGATCTGAATTTCCTTCATCGGTAAATTGATTATGTTCAAGTGATTCAGAAAAGTTTAATGTTGGAGGAACATTAATTTCTTTAGAAATATTTTCATAATTATTTAATGTAGATTGTGATTTTTGTGAAACAGAAATAGATCTGGAAATAGAAATTAAAAGGAAATTTACAGTTAATTACTATATTGATCAGTTACTTTTTCAATGAATTGATTTAAATATTTTGATACAGTCAGTTAGTTACAACGTAGAACTTTATGCGTACATACATCAGTTCGAATTGTCATACCACATTAGAACAGAGATGCAATTATCGATTCAAATCCTGTAGTAATAGAGGTAGTCAAAGTATAAGTAGTGATAGGGAACATTAGGGTTTGATGATGTTATTTAAGGAGTATAATCCAGTGGAATAAATTTGCAAAGAGAAAAGAGACCAAGAGAATTCAGGAGAAAAAGAGTGGATGCACCTACGCCATTGCGAACGATTTTCAGTTATGTCACTCAAGATTTCTAACTATCGGTTGCTATCGTCTTGCGGATTGCAACCACATACTTTACACCTACCAAAATGACTCAGTCCAATTGTCAGTGATTTCATGGATATGTGCCACGTTTTAGTCTGGCCGCCACTAGCTTTCTTTCAACCTACTCCTACACTATAAAACATTGCATGTCGGGGCAGTCGGGTATGCGTAACACATGTCCCAGCCATCTCAACTGATTAAGTTTTACTACTTCAATTGATTTGCCATCTTTACCTAGTACCCGTTTCCTAGGATATACGAGCAATGTTTCGAAGACATCTATGATCGAATACTAGTAGCCCACGAATATCCTCTACTCTTAGCGGTCATGTTTCACTGCTATAAAGTAGAACGGAACGAACTTACTGCGCAGTAGACATTGAATACATATTAGCATCAACAAGCTGTTCAGTAGTTAACAATGTTGAAAATTTTACATAAGGCTAAAAGTTTATTAAGTTGTTTACTTATAAATTTAAATGTAATAGATGTGAGATAAATAACTGAGACAGATGAACAATTAAATATTTAACCTATGATGATGTATTTTATTAATGGGAATACAAAACATGAGTACCAAATGCCCTGGTACGGTCGATAGTGGAGAAAGTCATCTATCTCTCAAAATGCTCTCACATGCCCACATGCATACAACCACTGACAGGGAAGTCCTACTCACATGCTTTTTGCAATGAGGTGTTGTTTACAAAATTAAGAGGATAAAAAGCGAATGTCCGACACTTTAACCAAGTTGATGGATACAGAGAATCTACCCAGAGGGGTTAGAAAACCCTAAATTCTAAACCACAGTTACACATATGCTCCAAGATCCTGATTGAACAAATGGCGTAGAAACATATTGTTAGTCACCGGCTACTATCGGATTGTATCTTCTCACGTTGTTCTACTACCCTGTTAATCAAACCTTTAGATCAAAGGCTCCGGGTATCATCTCTTTAAAACATCACCTATTTCGCTTTGAGAATGTGGAAGTATTCCAGTTCTCACAAACATATCGAATGATTTATGTGGTGTATATCTATTTGATGCCTTCTTGTATTAATATTTATGTGTTTAGATAAGAAATAGCCTATAATAAATAAAACTTGTCTAAGTGTTTACATATAACTAATTACTGATTTATAATCGATCATAACTGACCTTCCACATCAACGTGATTAATACGATTCAATGGAATAAATAACCATTCATATTGAATTCTATTATATTTAGAATTATTTTGATTTCTATACTAATAGTATAAAATTTTATAAACTTACTCAATATTTTCATGATTCACTTGTATTTCATTTGGTGGTCTATTTTCTTTTTCATTATATTGACAATGACAAGGACTTATTGTAATCGGATTTAAATAAGATGGTAATTGTAAAATACTAGTTGATATAGATTTTGTTAAAAATTCTTTAAATGTTGGCAATTTATTTAAAACATCATCAAGAAGATGATAATTTTCAGAATTATTAGCAAATTGTTGATGATCTGTACAATGTAAATGCTAAAAAAGGAAGAAAAAAAAAAACAAAATAATGACAATTGAATCTCTGGATGAAATAATATATTGTTATCAACTTGGATAAGTATGAATGAATGGTATTATATTTATTTATTTTAACACATAGGTATAGGTACAAGGTGGCACCAAGTACATATGCGTCACACAAATCTCAATTGATATGTGTGAGGGCTGTGATGCTGCTCGGGTGCCCAAACCGAAGCAGGTGGTTTTCTTAGGGGGCCACACCCCGAGCCTTCGACCTGAACGTCTAACCCACAAGGCAGTGGAGCATCGTGAGGAGATGCAATCCCATGGTAGCCGGTGACCAACAATCGGTTCATACGCCATTTGATCCTTCAGGATACTGGGGCCCATGTGCACCATTGATTTGGGATCCGGTTAAAGCGCCGGACATTCGCTTTTCGTCCTCTCATTTTCGTAAACAACACCCGTGGTGCGAGAAGGCAGTGAGTAGTACTTCCCTGGCAGAGGCTGTATACCCGTGGCCATGTGAGAGCATTTCGAGAGGGAGGGCGAACCAACCCCACTCTCAGCCATACGCAGGGCATTTGGGGCACCATTCATTCAGGCCCCCAAATGCCCTGGTACGGCCGAGAGTGGGGAGAGTCCGCTCTCCCTCTCGAAATGCTATCACATGGCCACGCGTATACAGCATCTGCCAGGGAAGTACTACTCACTGCCTTCTCGCACCACGGGTGTTGTTTACGAAAATGAGAGGACGGAAAGCGAATGTCCGGCGCTCTAACCGGATCCCAAACCAATCGTGCATATGGATTCCAGGATCCTGACTAAACAAATGGTATATGAACCAATTGTTGGTGACCGGCTACCATCGGACTGCATCTTCTCACGTTGCTCTACTGCCTTGTAGATTAGACCTTTAGGTCGAAGGCTTGGGTTGTGGCCCCCTAAGAAAACCACCTGCTTCGGTTTGGGCACCCGGGCAGTATTACAGCCCACAGACAAATTAAATGAGATTTGTGTGGCGCATATATATTTGGTGCCCTCTTGTACCAATATTTATGTGTTCAAATAAATAATGAATGGTAACTGTTGGGATCCATTTATGGAGTAATACTATATGTATACTTTTAGCGTTTGATTGTCACGTAACTAAACTATCTGCATATTCATGTCCCTCTCATTATAAGCTTTATTTTCACCTATGAACTATTATTACACGATTTACCATTCTTCAATTACGCCCTGTCTATATTAATCACTATCTCCCACATTCACAGCCACATTTCACCAAAATCTTGTACAAATGTTATTTTCTATTTTATCGTACGATGTGGTCTGCTTGATTGGTGTATAAACAGAGTATGTTTGAAATATAATGATTCATATCGCAGAAGTTGAGATTGGTGTTGTGGACTTAACTGCCTGTGCTAGACAGGAAGCGAGACCAATCAGGTCTCTAGGCTGCTCGTACGGGTTTTACGCGTCGTTAATTTGATCGATAATTCACTGCTCTCTAATTGGCGATATCATTAAGTTATACATTAACAACTTATAACACATATTATAAAATTGCAATTGAAAAGTAGTCTGAAATAGAAATATGTGATATATATATATATATATATATATATATATATATATATATATATAACCTAATCACTGAAATTTACAGCCTAAATCAAGAAACTTGTAGTTCCGTGTAGGAAACACTTTAACTCAAGACTATAAATCAGTGATAAACTATATGCTTATTAATCAAATGAAACATCATAAATCATGAATCATATTAATTAGGCTTTTATTGGATTATACTCCTTGAATAATATCATCAAACCCTAATGTCTCCGATTACTGCTTATACTTTTACTACAATCTAACACTAAGCGATTTGAATCGACAATTGCATCTTTGTGCTAATGTGGTATGGCAACTCAAACTGATCTGCGTAGGCACGAAGTTCTACGTTGTTACTGAATGAGAGGCTTTCAAAGTAGAAGATAAATTATATGCTTTTATTTGTTACGAATCTGTAGCAAGTTACCGATGTTCAAGGTATGTTAATTTTATTAAAGTACATATAAAAATAATGAATATACGGATAGGACAGTTTAGGGATTATTTCCAAAATCTGAACTACGATTTAGACCTGATCAGAAATGATAGTAGTCATGAGCTCGATTGAAAAACTAAGATGTACATTGTTTTTAATCGTAACAGTGAACATATTAATTATCTAAACCTAGTTAATAACACAGATTTTTTCCGTTACCGTGAGGCAAGAGGATTTAGTTTCACATCCTTAACAAACAAAGTACATCATTAAGGTCGTAAATGCATGTCGGCATGAATAGGAACAATATAAGGCTTACTGCAAACAGCCATCAATTAAAACAAACATATCCAAAGCGATAATACTGACCCGATATCATAATCCACTATTAAAAGTTACTTAACTGTCTTACACTCCCTTACGAAAGTTTAACAACCCAATGAATCCTAACCATAATCTTGATTAAGGATTGATCATTTCCGCATGAAACACAACAATGTATTTACCATTTTCTGACAGAACACAACATATCATTTGCGCTATTCTATATTTGTATGTTAGTCACATGTGAACAAGTTAACTGACTTCCTTGTTCAGATTAAACATTCTAGATAATTAAAATAACCCATTATGTCATTGAATAAAAAATAAAGAGAATTTAGCGAAGAAATCTTCCTTCTCGACAACATCATTTACTGAAGCTATACAAATCGCGTATGAACCAATTGTTGATCGCCGGCTACCATCGGACTGCATCTTCTCACGTTACTCTACTACCTTGTGGATTAGACCTTTAAGTCAAAGGCTCGGAGTGTGGTCTCCCGAGAAAACCACGTGTTTGGGTTTGGGCACCAAGGAAGTATCCCAGACCTCACACAAATCGAATGACTTATGTGGCACTTATCTGTCTGGCTCCTACTTGTATCAATGTTTATGTGTTTAAATAAATAAAATCCACCAATTCAAGCCCAAGCTCTATGTGCAAAAAACGATACATTCAAAATCTCATCCTTTCTCGAACCGAATTCCCTTCGGCAGTATTTTTAGGTTTTATTTTGTTTTAATTATTATTTTGTAATTTTAAATCGTAATCTGCTATTATTCTTATTATGCCTGTTATGTTTTTTATTTTCCTTCCTATCTATCAAATAAACAAATCATTTTCCTCTTTCTATTCTTCTCTAACCTCCTGATTATCATGCAATCTTGAATGATTTTATGATGAGATGCTTTCTATCTTTTTACAGACTTATTAAACAACTATCCATATGAATGTACAGCTTAAGTAAATGATTTCGTCGAAAAAAGAAAATTTTCTTAACTGAATTGTCATTATTTCTAAACACCAGATCATTTCGAATTTCGTTTGAGAATATGGGATTTATCCTTGATGAGAGAAAGTCTGGCGCTTTAACCGGATCCCAAATCAATGCTGCACATGGGCTGGCTCCAGTATCCTGACGGAACAAATGGCGTATGAACCAATTTCTTGGTCACTGGATTCCATGGGACTGCATCTTCTCACGATGCTCCACTGCCTTGTGGGTTAGACCTTAAGGTCAAAGGCTCCGGGTGTGGCCCCCTAAGAAAACCATCTGCTTCGGTTTGGGCACCTAGGCAGTATCTCAGCCCACACACAAATATAATGAAAATGATGATATTCACTTGATGAGTAGGTAATTTCTAAATTTAACCTTGAGGATACACATTATTATTATTATTATTAGTGGTTTTATTCAATAGTATATTTTTTGGTACAATATAGAATTCTCAGCACAAAGTATTTCAACAAGTTTCCCTTTCTTATTTCTTGATCAATTCCTTGCAATAAATATAGAGTGGTCGCCAGTTAGATGTTAGTGGTTCAAGAATCTATATCTGATAAATGTATATCCTTTTCGATGCATATTGCCAGTAACTATGATGTCTCTGATTGAGCTTTTTTATAACTTGTACAGCGAAATGTTGTAAACTTTTCATAAGCGCACCTGAATAGGTTATGAGACAGTAATAGGCAGAATGATGTGTTAAAACAGATAACTTGTTGAAATATTGAGATGGCAGGAACAGGTAGCCCAGATATTCAAGCAGACCGCCCAAGTCATATTCGTCGGATGCAATCACTATTATTAGTTTCGGATGTCCCATTCAATTAACAGTGTAAAGAGAAGCACACTAATAACTTCAATAAACTACGTTTCAAAAGTTTATTACATGAAGACAGGAAATATACATGATGAACACTCTCGTTATCAATACCGAATGATCAATTGCACTATGTACAAAGAAAAGTTATCGTTACTTTTATGTCGAATTATATTGGAGTCAAACACTATAATTATCATTATCTACAATGCAACTTAGTTGACCTACCTCAAACAAACTTTTAAAATTAGTGGAACAACATTCACAATAACCAGATGGTTCATCATTGACAGCAGCAGTAGTCGAAGAAGCTTTGGGATTACTATTCAATGTACAATAATAAAACGAAAATTACACAAAACTGATCTATTCACAAAATAGTTTAATTACTATCTAATGATTAAAGACTGGTACTTTTGTTTGCACTGCCCGCTGGATTCAGAGACTAGCAGAGATTTTAATGAAAGCATTACTACTTGGTTAATCATCCATTAAAACACAATAGCTGTATCTCAAAGTATTAGTCCGTGGATTATGGCCAGAACGTCGTGCAGGACCAACACAAGACTGCTCTTGTGAACCATTGTTTTGGAATCAGTGATTCCCGAATCCCCTAGGTAGACTCACCGTGCCCACCGGTCCGGTTAAAGCTCCGGATATTCGCTCTTCGTCTTCTCAATTTGTTTTTCCAAGCCACCGAATTCGATGTTGCAAGATGGTGACACTAATTTCATTATCGTCTCTGTGACCGAACACTCTATGCCGAACCTCTGCATTACTGACATGGTGTTGCCACTGGATGCCAGCAATCCTTCGGAGACAGTGATGATCGAACACAGAGAGTCGTCTAACATCCTCAACTCGGAGAGGCCAGGTTCCACAAGCATAGAGCAAAACTGCTCTCACCGTCGCGTTGTAGATCCGACCTTTTACAGCCAGACTAACATCACGAAGGCGCCAAAGATGGCCCAGATTGGCATTAGCCGCTCTGGCTTTCATTATACGTGCATTGATCTCATCACTCACGCCACCACCAGCAGAACTTATGCAGCTACCTAGATACACGAACTTCTCGACTACTTCTATCTGCTCACCATCCAGAGTGAGTACAGGATTAGAATCCTGCCAGTCTTGTAGAAGAACTTTGCACTTCGAAGGTGCAAAGCACATACCATACCTACGGACACTGATTGCCAACTGATTAAGTGCGGATTGCATGGCTTGGGCATTCTCGCACAGTAAGGCAATATCATCCGCATACTCAAGGTCGAGAAGTCTTTCTCCAGGCAACAGATCCACACCACCATTACTTACATCCGTCAGAGCTGTTTCCAGAATGTCATCGATGGCAAAGTTGAAGAGGAATGGTGAGATTGGGCAACCCTGCCTAACTCCACTGCTCGAATGGAATAGTGGAGAAAGGTGATTGTATGCTCTCACTCTGCCTGAGGTGTTTGTGTATAGGGCTTTTAGGATGTTAATAAACTTCTCAGGCACACCCTTCTTCAATAGACAATCCCAGAGAACAGTTCTGTCCAACGAATCGAAGGCAGCCCTGATATCAAGAAACACTACGATTGTTGGCCTTTGATAAGTATGGCTGTGTTCAATATGATCAATACATCCTCGACCGGAACGAAACCCAGCCTGCTCCTCGCGAGTCAATCCTTCTCGGGTTCTGAACAACCTACGAAGTATGACGGAAGCCAATAGCTTGGACGCAATCGGAAGTAGACTTATCCCACGATAGTTGTTACAGGAACGACGTGAACCCTTTTTAAAGATAGGGACAACTATCGACTCATTCCATGACGTTGGTATACTCTCTAGTTCCCAGACCTTTGTAAACAACGTCGTCAGTCCCTTAGTCAGAAAGTCACCACCATCTTTAAAAAGAGCCGGAGGTAAGTCATCTGGGCCCGGTGATTTGTAGCGTTTCAAGATTTGGAGTTCCTTGCGGACTTCCGCCTCATTTGGTGGATCAGTCGTCACCGGCCATCGAGGGCAGGACAGTCTGACCGATGTTGCCGGAGTAGCAGGCCAGTTGAACTGCCTTTCGAAGAATTCTGCCCATCGTCCAAGACGTCAATGGACGTTAGTGATTGGCGTTCCGTCATTCTCGCAGATCGTTTCGCTCATACCAGACTTCTTGCTGCCAGTGGCTCGGATGAGTTGGAAGAGCTTCCGGTAATTACCAGATGCAGCTGCTGCTTCCAGCTCATTAGCACGCTCCGACCACCAGGTTTCTCGGTCCTTACGCAAGCTTTGCCCGATTTCATTACGTAACATCCTTCGTCTGTGGTCAAACTCACGGTCACCCGGAGTAGACCGACGGGCTTCAATCAGTTGTAAGGAACCAGAAGAAACCCAGTGCTTGTAAGCGGGACGTTTCGCGAACCCACAACCGACTTGACCCGCCATTTTCATGGCGTCATGCAATTGCAACCAATGCTCATCTATACTTTTCGGTGGAATGGTAGCTAGCCTAGAAGCTAGCTCGGTTCGGTACATACTAGCAACAGAAGTTGCAGCCAGCTTGCTAACATCAATCCTGTGGTGGCGGTCACTTCGTTGTCCACTGAAAAGTAAGGTAAGATTGGCGCAGACCAGGACATGATCAGAGTCCAGATAGGTACTTTAAAAGGAGCGGCAGTCTTGTACACAACCACGCCAGCGGTAGCTGATCGCGATGTGATTAATCTGAGTCCAGGCTTGAGATGCAGAAAGAGTCAGTGTTTTAAATAAGTTACAGTTTGATTACATTTCAGATGTTATTATAGACGTTGGGTGCTCTCACATATATATGTTACGTGGAAACCCTACTCAATGATGTGACGAACCAACTGATATAACAAGTGTTTGTGAAGCAGACCCGAAACCAGAATGCCCAGGAGTAATGTCTGACAGTTTGAAATCCCAAGCCGCTGAACCAGATACTGGCTAACAAGTTCATGTTTACTTTAGGAACATGAAGTCAAATGAAGACAAAAAAGCAGGCGAATTTCATCTCGCTAAAAATATTAAGTATAATCAATTTGTACAAAGTACTCAGTGTTTTTTGAAAACAGTATGATGAGCAGTTATCAAATTTCAGTATTCGTTATAGTTATCTACAAATACCCAACGAATCTGATGATATTTATCTTGTGTATTCGGTTATGAACTTTATCGACCGGTTTCCAATCACTCTTGACTTAATCTCAGTGTAACTTACTTGGTCAGTATTCGCCTGAAAAACGCAATTACTTATGTCACCACAAAGATAATGTTGTAAAAATAAACAATAAAAATATTTACCTTTCCGTTCCTTTAGCGACTAAAGAAGCTGTACGTTGTAATGGTGTAGCAGTATGTTTTTGAAGACGATGTTTACGTTTATTTCGACTATCTCTGCGTGTTAAGATTGACTGAGTGCCTGTTCCAGGAATACAATGACTTGGATTCTGTAGAGTAAAACCAACGCTTGCTCCAGGGACACTACCACTACACGGTCCATTAGCAGTAGTAGTTGTTGTTGTAACAGTAGCAGTAGTAGTAGTAGCAGTAGTAGTAGTAGTAGTAGTAGTAGTAGTAGTAGTAGTAGTAGCAGCAGTAGTAATGATACCAATAGTATTGATTGTAGTCGTTGGGATCGGAGATGATGGAGTATCATGTACGCCCACTTCAAGAAGGGATTTAGATTTTGATTTATAACGATTGGTTAGACTCCACAAGTCAGGCAAGTAGTCTGTTTTATCTAAATAAATAGGTCGGTAATGACTTTTTATATCAACCACTTTGATGCATGGTGTCACTAGATGTCGAACTGAAATTAATAATACACAATAAAAACTTTAAGTTACGCAATAGTATTTCAAGTCAAAATAATAGGATTATTAATAAAATTCGTACTGATTTGTGTTTAACATAAAAAATTAAGAAATCGTAACTAAGTCTATATGGAAAGCGTAGTCATAAGGTGCCCCCAAATGCCCTGGTACGGTCAAGAGAACGGAGAGTCAGCTCTCTACATATCTTGAAATGCTCTCAAATGGCCACGCGTATATAGCCTCTGTCAGGGAAGTCCTACTCACTGCCTTCTCGCACCACGGGTGTTTGTTTACGAAAATGAGAGGACGAAAAGCGAATGTCCAGCGCTTTAACCCTATCTCAAATCAATGGTGCACATGGGCTCCAGTATCCTGAAGGAACAAATGGCGTATGAACCAATCGTTGGTCACCGGCTACCATGGGACTGCATCTCCTTACGATGCTCCACTACCTTGTGGATCAGATCTTCAGATCGAAGGCTCGGGGTGTGGTCTCCTGAGAAAACCACCTGCTTCGGTTTGGGCACCCGAGCAGTATCACAGCCCTCACACATATCAATTGAGATTTGTGTTGTGCATATGTATTTGGCGCCTCCTCGTACAAATATCTATGTGTTAAAATAAATAAGTCATAAGGTAAAACGACAACTAAATTGCGGATATATTTAGAAATAGCCTTTTTCTGATAACCATTAACAAATGTCTCATATGTATGCTTTATGACAAGAGATACTTGTAAAAAAATGATGTTATTTATATGGAAACGGATTGTCGAAATGGTATCCTAGAATGTTGAAAAAATCAGGTAGGTAACGGTCTGTTTCGTTTATTTATCAAATGATGTACTACAAAAATCATAATTACTAGACTAAAGTGTACTCGAAGTAAAGATTATTGATGATTTAAGACTTAATGGTATACGGCCCAGAATCTATGATTGTAACGAAGACAGTTAATAAAATATATTGAAATCATGAAACGATCAATCTTAGACCACTATTGAAAACCTGGAGGCACTAGACGGCTGTTTTGTTCTAGTATGGGACTCCTTGACAGTGCGCATCCACGATCCCGCACGCGGAACCCGAACCCAGTTAGACGTTAATACCATTGGATGCCGGATCAGTGGTCTGGAGGTTGAGCGTTCGCACGAGACCAAACGTCATGAGTTCGAGTCCCGCGTGTGGGATCGTAGATGTGCACTGCCAAGAAATTCCAAACTAGGACGAAACGGCCGTTCAATGCTTCCAGCTTTTTAACGGTGGTCCAAAATTAATCGGTTCGTGATTTCGATTAGTCAACAATCTCCATAACTCCTTAATAATAATAAAATGTCAGTGAATTGTTTCATGCAAACAATCTTGGTAAAGGCTAAACTTCATCTAAATATACGACTCCTGAAATAAGAATACTTGAAAATATTGAACAACAGTATCCTCAAATCAGGGTAACTATCGAACTACATGAAACTAAACGTTTACGAATTGTTCCGCTGTAAATGATTGGTAAAGCAAATCTATTCGATCAAATACACTCAAATACGACAAAGTCAATTGGAAATTTGTCAATAACACTGAATAACTATAGAAAGATGATCTAGTGGAAAAGATAGACAGTAGAGACACTAGGATCTAATTAATGTATGTTATCTGTAAACATTTTTGTTCGTATGTGATTAATATGAATTTAGGCCCAAATTGATCAGATACATTAAATAAATAAATAAATAATTGAACTTTAAGTTGTTAAGTGTCAACATTCTACTTCATTTTCATCAATGAAAACTTGCCAGTTATTGACAGAAACGAGTAGAATGAGTTAGTTTAAAAATAGCACAATATATAATAAACAATCATGATGATGGTGGTGCAGACAACTCAAAATCTGTTTATTATTGCCTTTAATGTGATAACTTATTGAGTTCGAGAGGTTATCAGATAAATATTCAAGAAATTTTACATAACATAGTACTTGGAATAAAGATTCGAAGAATTACCTTCATGAATCCTATCACGCTCTGGATCATTAGTTAACTCGTCAAGATGATCATCATGATCTGTTCGTTGTATAGACTACAAGATAATAGGATAAAACAGTTTAATCTACGGAGCAATAGTTGATTAGACCACTAGAATAACGACAAAAACAACACCTAATTAGATTAATTACAAGTGTAACATGGACATCAGCCAACTAAACGTATTTACAATTACACAACGAATGTTTTCATAAAGTGAATCTTGGTACCCAGTTATTTCCACTAGGCATAATATTGAGATGTTTTCATTTGTACATTAATAATATTTAACAGGTATTGTAGTGAATAGAACACGGGTGGGGAACAATCAAACGTACTTGACATGAAATTACAGAACTTGTTAATAAAATCTAGCAACCATATAGTAAAGGCTCAATTTGCAAAATGACCATCAGTTGTCTCAAAATGACTCAGACTTCATTGTTCTTACATTTTCATACAAATTGCATTCTGTTTCCGCTCTTTACTATCCGATCCTCTTGTCTCTCTTCTGTCAGACATTCTATTCCAGACTAATGTCATATACTACTTATGCCAATATAATTAGCACACATCACAGTATCAGTGTATCAAATGATTATGTCACATGTGCAAGTGGATATTATGATAGTAAGATTTGCGATATAAAGCGGAATAGGACTAGAAATTATTACTAACAGCAGTATGATAAGCAGATTCGAAAATAAACAAAATAACCATTCACCATTTAAATTGAACTCCACTGAATCTACTTTAGTTTCAGCAGCCTTGTAATATTGTTAGCCAACAAACAAAATGTGTAACTCAAAGTCAAGTACAAAATCCTGAGAGCCAAAGATGACATACTCTATCAACGTGGCGAGATGAAATTAGCAAGACTGATGAGACATGGGTCAGAATAGTAGTGGGATCAATGATAATAAAATAGATAAAACATCACGGATACGATTGAAAAAAATGGAAAGAAGCTACACATCAAAAAATATTAATACAGCAAAGGTCATATCTACCTGGATATATGACTGAACGTCTGATGGGAGATTTTTTATCCATTTCGTTACAGCTACAATAAAAAAAAACCCAGGAAATATGGAGATAAATTACAGCAAGAAATAAAATTATACCAAATACTGAATAGACCTGTACTGGAACATGATTTATTTTATTTATTTATTTTAACACATAAGTATAGGTACAGGGAGGCACCAAATACATATGCGCCACACTAATCTCAATTGATTTGTGTGAGGGCTGTGATACTGCTCGGGTGCCCAAACCGAAGCAGGTGGTTTTCTTAGGGGGCCACACCCCGAGCCTTCGACCTAAACGTCTGACCCACAAGGCAGTGGAGCATCGTGAGGAGATGCAGTCCCATGGTAGACGGTGACCGAAAGTTGGTTCATACGCCATTTGTTCCTTCAGGATACTGGAGCCCATGTGCACCATTGGTTTGGGGTCCGGTTAAAGCGCTGGACATTCGCTTTTCGTCCTCTCATTTTCGTAAACAAACACCCGTGGTGCGAGAAGGCAGTGAGTAGGACTTCCCTGGCAGAGGCTATATACGCATGGCCATGTGAGAGCATTTTGAGAGAGAGAGCGGACTCTCCCCCCTCTCGGCCGTACCAGGGCATTTGGGGGCACTGGAACATGAACCTACAATTGATTAGTGAATAAAACCGATGGTTGACAAGTGATAAACAAAAGAACGTGTTGTGTTTCTTAAAGTAGGTGAAAGAGATGGTTATGTGAAGACTTCAAAAATTATCAACTAATATTAACCCATTTTTAACTTTAGTATGTAAGAAGTGTTTATTTACAAATCTCAAGAAGTGAAATGTACAAATATTTACCGAAAACTGCTATAAATTTATGTCTGTGCAATTTTAGGTCAAAGCCTAAGCAAATATTTCTAAAAGTTGAAATAAACACTTGTACAGAAATATTCTTACATCCCAAATAATATTTGCTAAGATCAGAATAAATTCATACTAACACCTTTCAAGAACCACTGAGAAAAATATATTACAGTGAATTGTATTCAGAAAATCCAATCTTTGCGAAAGACTTATTAATAGAAACAAGTGCTTATTTGCCACAATCCTAAAATACTGAGAAAGCTTTTTTTTTTTAAAAGCTTACATTCAGTGACCTAAGCAAACAGTATGGCTATCTAGCTAGTATCGACTTTAAGTAGTGAATTACGCCAAAACAAAGATGTATCCCAAACATTCTAGATGTTATATTTTTTTCTTAAATTTCCAAACTTGAAAAACTATTTTCGATTCCGTTAATTTCCATCCATTTAAGGTTTACTTCATGTAAGATTGGAATTCACCAGTCATTAACAGTATTCCTGATTTATTATTATTTATTATTTATTTATTTTAACACATAGATATTGGTACAAGGAGGCACCAAATACATATGCACCATACAAATCTCATTGGATATGTGTGGGGGCTGTGATACTGCTCGGGTGCCCAAACCGAAGCAGGTGGTTTTCTTAGGGGACCACACCCCGAGCCTTCGACCTGAAGATCTGATCCACAAGGTAGTGGAGCATCGTAAGGAGATGCAGTCCCATGGTAGCCGGTGACCAACGATTGGTTCATACGCCATTTGTTCCTTCAGGATACTGGAGCTCATGTGCACCATTGGTTTGTAATCCGGTTAAAGCGCTGGACATTCGCTTTTCGTCCTCTCATTTTCGTAAGCAAACACCCGTGGTGCAAGAAGGCAGTGAGTAGGACTTCCCTGGCAGAGGCTGCATGTATGCGCGTGGCCACTTGAGAGCATCTTGAGAGGGAGAGCGGACTCTCCCCACTCTCGGCCGTACCAGGGCATTTGGGGGCCCTGATTTATTAGTCACAAAAAAAACTTAAATTTGATACCATAAAAGAGTGCAGTTATTTTATCCTGTGATGGACATATATCCGGGGACGCCTTGCTGACGTGTACTAACTACGATGAAAATAAGGTTTAAAGTTTCCTATCAATTCAGTCAGTCATCTACAACGTAGGACCAGACAGATATATGCATCGGTCCAAGTTGCCACACTTCATTAGAAAACAAGATGAACACCAAATTCAAATTAGTTAGTTCAATGGTACTAATATATAAAGAAAGACAGCATATAAGGATATGATACATGAAGAAAGAACTAGCTCATAGACAGAAAAGTATAAATCAATTTTAATCACATGGTTTAAGGGAAGACAAAGAGTAAATACATCGACACCATTGTGATCGATTCTGAGTTATATCATACAGACTCTCCAACCATTTGGTACGATAGTCAGACCCCAGCCAAGTAGTCTGCATCTACCAACATAACTCAGACCAGAAGTTAGTGACTTCAAGAACTGATTCCATGTTTTAGTTCGGCCACGCCTAACTTTCTCCCATGGTATTCGGTGGTTGGGCATGCATAATACATGACCCAATCATCTTAGACGACTACTTTCAACCACATAAAAAGTTCAAATAAATGTAATGTACCGTCTTTGACTAAACACACATTAGTTAGCATTTTTTTAAAAATTTGACATAAATCCACGTATTTGCTTTAATATCAAACAAGAGTAACTAAAACTTACTGTCAATAGAGAGAATTTTAATACCTAGCTGACGAGCTTTGTACAACAAGTCATTATTTGAATTTAACTTTTGGCTAGATCCCAATACACAAGACATAGATGATGACTGAGATTGTATAGGTGCAACAGATAGATCATTGGATGTTTGAGCCTTAATTTCAAATAAAAGTAAGAAAACCACGAAATATAAATAAAAATATAAATGAGATTAGGACATTATAAAGACAATGTTAACTTCTCATTACGTACGGTAAAGACTAGTGGATTTCTTTAGCATCTACCGAACTGAAATATACTCAGAAACCCACCTCGTTAGGCTCTCAAACACGATAAAGAGCGAGGGCAGATTAAACATAGACTGTCGTGATGTGATTGGGGCCGAAACACATTAGCTGGAAATCTTGACGTTATCATGACTACATTAGTTTCTCTATGTTATTGCATCGCAAGTATAAAGACAAAATTATTGCGAAACATTACACATCCTCTTAGTGTTACCATATTTAGAACCAATAATATTAAAACTATTAGACATTCAGAGTATCAAACATGGGTAACATGTATTGGTCAGTCAGATTTAGTCAACAGATCATTTGCCATGAATCTATTCATTTGGGTCTTGTCTATTAACATGGGTTCCTACCCTGAAAATGTAGTTTTTGAAACAAGTCTAAAAGTATCACTGATACTAAGAAAAGGCATTTGTGGTGATAATTTATATCAGTTGAATAAAAACCAACTTACTTGGTTTAATATCGATGAGGCTGTAATACCTGATGGAGTAGAATTAGAATCTTCAGAAGCAATTTTGCGTGCGGCAAGTAACATAGCTCTACCACGTGTTACCGGGCTATTAACAGGTTTGCTTCCTATTAGCACAGGAACCTTGAGATTGTTTGGTGTTTGCGAAACAGTCGAGAGCTGATTGTGAAGTGAAGTGGATTGTTTCGATGATGTAACAGGTGGTTCGTCAACAGTAGGTGATGCCAATCGAGATGATATCCGATTAGTTATGACGTAATCAACATCCCGACTAAAGAATTCAACGACCTCCTAAATTTTGTAAAAGGAAACGATATAGAATAATTATTATGAAAAGAATAATTAGGGAATAAGTTAGTTTCAGCAGAAAGTAATTTACGATGATTGGTTTAAACATTTGACTTTAAATTACAGGATCACTTATCTGAATTCTGATACCGTATAAGTAACCGGGTAGTAAATTATAACCTGAAGTGAGATAACCGGACATGAAAATAAATTGAACCTTATGTATTGGGATACATGTCAAAGTAGCTATACTGTGAATCAGTATAGTGAGAAATCAACAAGAAAAATATTAAATACAATATTAATTAGGAACTAAAGAAAACAGATGTTAGAGAAAATTCCAAAGGAAGAACGAAAAGTATTAGTTATTCACAAGATAGACGATTCACACGTTCGTGAGTTCCATAAATTTTGAGCTCTATAGCACACCGTCACGACTCTAAGTATTTTAAGAATTGCAACATAGAATCCTTAACTTTTGATGGAACAATGAAAAAACAGAGTAGATCTGAAAAATGCAATGTATAGTGCAAATAAATCACATTTTCCAAATCAACTCCATCTTCGTATTGTTCAATCAAAGTTTATAAAAAAGAACAGTTAGTTTAAATCCTTAAGTTTGGTAGGCGGCTCCTATCAAACATTGGTATGTTTTTAATTCGAAAAGTCGTATATATTCTTCACCAAACTAAATCTAGCTATAGATGGGATTGATAGAAGGTAAAAAAAAACAGTTAGGACAGTAATAACAACAGTAGCGAAAAAACTGGAGGCAACAAAGGCAGAAAATCCAGAAACATTATAAACGAATGTCTATAACACTTAAGTGATGCGTAACGACTTCACCAAAAATTACTTATTACCTGAACCAAAACGTAGGCTTTGTGTTGGACTTCTGCAACACATTTAAGGATAGTGATCGAGTAATGGTCTAGTCAAAAAAACACTTGGTCCCCAACTAGCAGGTCGCAAGTATAAAATCGCACATTTCACGTCAAGATTTATCAAATATAATTTAACTAAAAGCATTTTAGTCAATGTTCACTTGTTTTTGTTCTTCATATAACATTCCTGCTTCTCTTGGTCTAGTTATTTATTTGAAAATATAAATATTGGTACAAAGGGGCACCGAATACATATGTGCCACACAAGTCATTCGGTCTAGTAGCCTTTCTTGTGAGTCCGATTTTCCTATACATAGCTCAGGCACGTTGTCGATATAGGGATGTACTGTGATAATTTCAACGAGTGGTGCAGTACTATATGTTGTAGACGAACGTCGGCTTTTATTAGATGGTACTACAAACCACATTTACGCTAACTTTACTGAGAATGGGGCAAAACCACTGGAGATATTGAAGACATAAAGATGATGAAATCCGTTTAAAAACTTCCCGAGGACAAAATGAACGATATAGGAAGTAAAAGACAATTAACGGATACTGATGATACTGTAAGTGACGTCAACAACTCAGTTCCAGAATTTCAGAAAGTCACTATAGCGGATTTATTTAGCACACATATATTGTAACAACTGGGCACCAAAATAAATGTGCGCCACAAATAGGGATAGACGAAGGGAGAATATAATAAAAATAAAGATTAAGTGAAAAATAAATGGGCGATAACAGTATACAATAGGGAAACAGTTAGGTTAATATACGAAACAGAAATACTTCTTTCAGTTAGGGGAGTTCCTTTCATTTTTTATGAATGTGAAGGAAGGTTACAGAAGGATCACCATGGGCATTTGTTTTGAGCCATGTATGACAGCGTTCTGAGCCACCGAGTCACACCATCTACAAGACCCCGAACAGTTGGTCGTGATGGACAAATCCCAGTCCTATACAGCTTTCTTTCATAAAACAATGTCATATCGTGAAATAACCACCTCACTGTTTTTTCCACGTTGGCCTAAAGTCGGCAAGTAATGGGTGATGTGGGATTCGTTGGAATGACATTCGTAACACATGTTCAAGCCACCGAAGATGGTGCTTCAACCCGGTGACTAATCGAATTGTCGTCCTGCGTTGAAACGCACATCGTCAAACCTCTATATTATTAGCACGTTATTGTCACTGGAAGTTAGCAACCCTTAGGATGTAACGATCATCGAATAAATTTTCTGAACATCCTTAACCCGGAAGCTAGGTTTCGTAAACATAGTAGAACTGATAGCGCTGGAGCAATATAGACCCGACTTTTGCAGTCAGACATACATCACGACGACTCAAAAAATGGCCTAGATTGCCATAAGTCTCTCTGACTTTCGCTACATGTAAATTCATTTCATCAGTCACGCCACAACCAGCACTCAAACTATTCAGATACACACATTTTCACTACTACTTTTACTTGTAGCAGACCCCTTCTCCAACATCATTAAGAGTAAACTCACTGACACACTATGAACTCTCAAAAATAAAACCTGGTATGATGAGCAGGACTTAGGCCGAAAAGTTAGGTCTGAATAAAATGGACCACAAACCTGTCGTTTTCTAATCGTTTACTTATTTATTTATTTAAACACATAAACATTGGTACAAGAAGGCATCAAATAGATATGCGCCACATAAATCATTCGATTTGTGTGAGGGCTAGGATACTCACCGTGTGTCCAAACCGAAGTAGGTGGTTTCCTCATGAGGACACACCCTAGCCTTTGACCTAAAGGTCTGATCAACAAGGCAGTGGAGCAATGTCAGTAGATGCACTCCCATGGTAGCCGGTGACCAACGGTAGGTTTTTTAATCAAAATACTAGAGCCCATGTTCACCATTGGTTTGGAATCAGGGTTTTCCAACTTCCCTAGGTGGACTCTCCATGTGCGCCAACCCAGTTAAGGCGCCGGACATTCACTTTTCGTCCTCTTAATTTCGAAAATAACACCCCCGCCCCGAAAAGGCAGTGAGTAGGACTTCCCTGTCATTGGTTGTGCCCACGTGGCCATGTGAGCGCATTTTGAGAGATATAAAGAGATGACTCTCCCCACACTCGGTTGAACCAGGGTATTTGGGGGCCAATCGTTTACTATATGTAATCATATTGTTTCCGTGTCAAGATTTCGTACGTAAACATGTTACTTAGTAATACAAAATAGCTCATTCTTTTGGCTGGTGATCGTGTTGTTGATATGAGGCTGTAAAACACTGATAAGCGAAGTGTTTTAAACACGTTTCCAAGACTTCACTGCCATATACACCACAGTGTAAAAGACTATACAATGAAACATCCCATTCAGACCGAAACAGAAACAGATCCTAGCATCCATAATTTCGTAAAACAAAATTCAAATTCTAGAAGTCTACACTCAAGCCGCTTTCTGTAGGTCCCTTTTCCTCCCACTAACAAGTAGAAACTACTGTTAAAAAACAAATCTGTAGTCTTGGAATCTGTCACTAATTCTAATCTAGCTGATAATATATATATATATATATATATATATATATATATATATATATATATATATATATATATATATATAAATGAAAGCTGTCAAAACGGAAAAAAACCGTACTTCCGGTCAAAGAGCCGCATACGTCTTAATGTACGCAGGTTCAATCTACTCAAAGGTGGAGTCATATTTAAACTCATTTGACAACTTTACTGGCATTTGTTCAACATAAAAGTGATGATAAAACCAAAAATGAGCAAGTGATTCTCACTTAAGTTAGGAAAGTAATTGCATATCAAATGATAGGCGACTAGGGAATGGAGAGGCTATAGTCAATCATATCGTAATAATCTTAACTCGCGAAATGCTACATCAAGAAAAACATGTGTAGAGGCGAAGCCAAACAACAAATTGCGTTCACGTTATAAACTCTTAATTAAAATGTAACTCAGCCTGGAAAGCGCAAAGAACTACAAACTGTGCCTAGCTTCTCTGACAAGTGGACTTGTTGTAATATCCTGATGATTTACAGGACTTGTCACTCCTTCGATTAGACAAGCTAATACACATGACACTGTTGGTAAATTAAAAGGCCAAGGACAAACCATATCATAGAGTACAGGTTTTCCTACCGCACAAGTAATTCCTTGAACCTAATTTCAAGAATACCTGGTGTCCTGACTAAATTATCCCATAGAAAGCTAAACACATAAAAGAACACTGGAAAATAGTGAAATGGCTGTGGCGTTCTGTCCCCTAAATTCTTCAAAATCTAATATAAAAAACTTGGTTTTTGGATCGGTTATGTTATTAGTTCGGCCCCCAATCGACTAGACGCATTGGATAAAGACTAACACTCCACAAACACTACATTTGGTGTGGAGGTTGTTTCAATTTTCAGCCACATTCTAAAAACAATCCTACCAGATTTCATTGAGCATTACGTGTCGACGCTACGAAATACTTTGCTTATTTTCGACCAAAACTTATCAACGTAAGATTTACCACACGTAAAACGCTCAGGAAACATAATACTGAGCATAAAAAAGGTAAACTTGCTCCTTTAAGCTTCTTTAGCACTTTTTCAATTTGTTTATCACGAGCTGTGCCTGATTCATAATGCATGAACAGCTTCTTGCCGAGAAGTGGAGCAAGTCTATTTTCTGGAGGTGAAAATGCCTTAGAAATTCTTTCTACACCAGTGTTATCATCAACAAGGGAGCTTTCCGACTTCACAGGTGGTAATCCAAAAGTTGAATGACTGCTCAGTAATTTCCGCTCACAACTGTGGTCAAAGTCATCCATATTCCCGTAGCCTGAAGCCGTTGGTATGTCGGCGTCAAGGTTGGTTTTTTATTTAAGGAGTAGGAAGTAAGGCGTGAGTGAAAACCTACAAAAGAAGAGGGTCAGTAAGCCTGAGACAAGGTACACGTCAGTATATTGCACAAATTGCAAATAAAAACTAACTAGGAAGTAAGGGAAATTCAAGGTTATCTGGTGATCACAAATACGACCAAAACAACACCTTGGGATGGACTTTACAAACCAAATTTCCATCGTACACTTGACCTTAACCTTAAAGCCAGTACATTGTTTTAAACAGTACTGTCGCCTTTACATATAAGGACGGAAATCTGATGCAATGAAAGAGTTAAGAGAGACCTATCATTAACCTACTCTTCATAGTTTGAACACATTTAAGTGTGATATTATCTTTAGCTAAAGCATTTCACTACTTACAGACGTTGGAATTTCAAACGTTCTGATGCTCCAGCTTTACATGACAATCTACTGCAGATTGACTGGTAAGTTCACTCTCAACTTGATGCTCACCGATATTTTCTACTGCACATAATAAGTTAGTCCGAAAAACCGTTTTTTAAGTTATAAGCAACGTTCCGTCTGCCCGTCTGACTATAGGTTTCGGCCACAGATTTCTCAGGAAGCCAGTATGGTTTACGAACACAAAATCTTCCAGCTGTAGATTTCTTCACCTGTCTAACCGCTTGGATCTCGCACAAACAGTTGGTAGGTACTCTCAACCATCCGTTCCAGAAAAGGTTGACCAGTTGTTGCGCTTCCTTCCATCTATTATATAAGCACGTTTTACTCATCTGCTCTTCATTGAATGATACACCATAGTGAACTAACAACAACTTATTTAACGTAAGTACATTCAGATCATCACAGTCATTAACTAGCTTTAAGAGTATTCTATTGGTCAGTATCCCTTCAGCCTCTATTACAAACGTCCCTAAAGACTCGTCCGTCAATATCTTCTAAAATAGTAGTGACCGTAGGATTCTTCTTATTGACTTTGTGATGCGTCCTCATACACTGACTCAATTATAAGCTCTAGGAAGGTTAAAGTGCCACTCACAAACCCATTCTAAAAAATATGAGTACATGGTTTTTAAGCGTAGTGTGGTGCGCGCTACTTATATCGATATAAGTAGTATATGATGCGAGTTAAACCCGTAATGTCTGGCATTGTGAGACCGTGGCGGAGCTGTTGGGTGTGAAGGAGGCGAAGGCGAAGTTGGTGGTGCTGGGGACGCTGCTGAGAGGCAGGGCGAAGGCTGTATATGACAGCTTGGACGGTGCTTGCGGGAAGACGACATGGGAGGCAGTTACGGAGCGACTGGTGGCGGAGTTCGACAGCCCAGTGGACTATGAGGACACACTGAATAAGTTTCGGTTGGCGAGGATGTCGGTCGGCGGTGACCCACTGGTGCTAGCTGTGGAGCTCACCAGGTTGTTACGCCGTGCAATGCCAAATCTGGATGAGGAGTCGGAGGCACGGTTGCTGGCGTCGCAGTTCATGGAGTGTCTCTGTCACCGTTTCTCAGCAGCTAAAGTTAGTAAACGACGCACAACCTATGGATGTCAGTGAACTGGCGAAGGTGACTCGTCAGCTGATGACACGAACAGTAGCTTCGGTCAGTTACGAAAAGCAGGAGATAAATAGTGTCGAGAAGATTAAGCAGCTGGAGCGTGAGATATTAGCTATACAAGTAAATCATAAAAGGAACGATAAATCTTACGTTTGTAAAGTGACAGTACATTGAAAGGCAAACTGTCCAACAAGACGACGAAATAGATATTTTAAACGTTATAACGTATGTTCTTTCTACCCCAGGAATCTGGGGGTTGTTGCATTGGTAGATAGAGAGGCAGTTTATACGAGAGTAAACTTAAATGAACGGGATTTAGTGTGTCTGATCGATACAGGAGCAGTGGTATTAATAGGCAAAGAGCAATGTAAGACACTCAAGCTATGTACATTAGCTGTCCACACTATAGGAGGGCATATGTTAGAGGTGTTGGGATTATCTAACAATATTGTAAAAGTGGGTGGAGCTGAGATAAATTTTCCGTTGGTGGTAACCACTAGCTTATCGAGACCGATACTAGAAGCAGATTTCCTAAGAGAAGTAAAAGCGATAATTGACTTAAGAAGCGGTAAGGTGGTCACAAAGTATGGTTCATTGCCGATACACGAAAAAGAGTAACAACGGACGTCTCGATGGAGAAACCAAACATTAACGAGTTATGCAAAAAATATGCGAAACTGTTCACTGGAGATGGGGAGCCGTATGGATTTTGTGACAAAGTAAAGCACGAAATCCCGATAAGGAACGACCGAGTAAATATATTTGCAACACGTCGTGTCCCGGTGCATTTAGAGGCTGAGGTAAATCGACAGGTCCAGGAAATGTTGAAAGAAGGTATAATTGAGAAAGCGGACAGCCCATATAGCTCACCAGTACTCTCGATAAAGAAACCCAACGGAAAGTATAGATTTTGTGTCGACTATAGAGAACTGAATAATATAACAGACCTGAAACCTTGTGCAATGCCAACAGTGGTGGAAACATTAGATCGGTTACAGAATGCCACGGTGTTTACAATGCTGGATTTACGGTCAGGTTATTGGTAACTACCTATAAAAGATAGCGATCGCAACAAGACAGCATTTACTGTACGTGATAAACAATACCAATTTAAACGAATGCCGTTCGGGTTGGCGAGTGCATCGTTTATGTTCAGAAGATTAATGACGCTACTGCTCAAGAATCTAGACAATGTCGAAGTATATGGCGTCGATGTAGTTGTATACAGCCTGACAGAAACAGATCATGTCAAGCATGTGGAAGCAGTCTTAAAGCGAATTGATGAATTTAGACTTCGAATTAATAAGGAAAAGTCGCAGATAGCGAAAAACACCGTCACAATGTTGGGACATAAAGTGGGTAATGGAGAAATAAAACCATTGCCGGAGAAAATTCTTACCATAAAAAATATTGCAGTACCTAATTCGAAAAGGAAGTTGAGACAGTTCCTGGGAAGAGCGGCGTTCTATAGTCGGTTTGTCAACGAAATAGCAGCACCCCTATATAGGTTGCTGAGCAACACTGAGACTGCCGAACAAACCTTCAACCGAATCAAAAACATGCTGGACGATCGTCAGATGGCGCTGCGACCGCCTGAACCCGGGAAACTATTTACAGTGTTCACAGATGCAAGTGATCATGGTATATGTGCTGTATTGAGTCAGGCTGATAGACTGGTGGAATACGCAAGTCGCGTTCTCACACCCGCTGAGCAGAAGTATTCAACGATCGAAAAAGAGTGCCTGGCAATCGTGTGGGCAGTAGAAAAATGGAGACCGTACCTTTTAGGAAGACGATTTCACATTGAAACTGACCATAAACCCCTTCAGTGGTTGAAAACAGAAAGAGACCATCGAGGGAAGTTGGCGCGATGGATGATACGTTTGCAAGAATACGACTTCAGTATCGGCGATGTTCCAGGAAAGGAAAACGTAATGACGGATTAATTGTCATGACCAAACATGGAAGCTGACCTTCCATTGACAGCATACGTGGTGAATAGTCTAGAGGGACCTAGCCACAACAACAGAAATGGACGACAACAAGGTTAAGAAAAGAGAGAAGGGAGACAATCAGGAACGTGAAAAAGAAGCAAATATCAGACAAAAAGAAGGCGGAACAACAAAGGAGAACATGGAAACCTTTTGCAGTGTGAGAACTAGTAAAGTGTAGAGATCGAAAAAGTAGCATAGCAGGGAGATCAGGGTCGGGAAAGCTGATCCCAAAGTGGGAAGGACCGTACGTTATCACGGAGAGACGTGGCGCGGTCTGCACGATCCGGAGAGAAAAAAAAACAGAAGCACGTAAATGCTTGTCAACTGCGGAAATGGTTTCAAGATCATCAAGTGTGTGAGTCACGAAAAACACCAAAGAAGACAGCGGTACGGCGATCAGAAAGACTACGGCGACAGCTTATTGAAAAGGGGGACGAGTATGGAGCGCGCTACTTCTATTGATATAATAAGTAGTATATGACGCGAGTTAAACACGTAATGTCTGATAGTAGATGGGGTGAGATCAAGAAAATAAGAGTGGGAACACAATGGAATTTGTATGAAAACTCATGAACAATGAAATGTCACACTTTCGATTGATGTTTGCAACAGGGACAGTCCAGTTTGATATGATGGATTGATGTTTTACAAATTAACGGTTTAATATATGGTTTTCTTATTTCACCAATTAACTCTATAATGTTGAGCCAATCACAATTCCATTGTCCTCACCAGTGTTCTACTTCATTACAGTAATACTAGAATCGTTTAAAATATGTTCTAAGTTGGGAACAAATATATTGGGATTAGTAGTTTTTATCCAGTATTTCATCGTCAAGTAAACTTAGTTCAATAATCTATTTTACAGATGATTTTTCATCGTAAATGGTCACATTTGCTTTTACTTCTATCTAATTATGTTGATGATTCAATAATCATTATCATGTTTATACTTATAACATTTCTGTAATTGACTTAATCTAAAATCTTTATGAAACACACTTTTTTTTCAAGTTGATTCATTCATAGATAGTTTAATTGTTTACACTATCATATAGATAAATTAGATAAACAAATATGTAATCTATTTACCATATATTAATGATGATAAACAAAGAAATTCAACTAGACACAAGGTCATATTCATTCTTTAAGTGAATATATGAATGATCTCCATCATATTTAAAAGATTAATCTATAAATGTAAAATATTCTTTTCAATAAATTCTCTTCTAGTTCTACAATTGATTATATGCAAAATAATAATCCCGCCTCCTCCCCCCCCCCGAAAAATAATGGTTAGATTATGGGCAAAGTACATCATTTAAAGTAATGGCATGTAAACGGTAGGATTGTTGAACAAAATAGAATAAAGTTGTTCATATTGATATGACTTATATGGATTGTTAATTTGAATTAGCTTATATTGTTAAATGAAATTGTTACCATCTCATGATTAAAATAAATATGGGTCAGATAGGGTGAGAGAAATATAATTGTGCTATTACAATTCGATTAAATGTTTAATGGAAGACTACACTGTGTGAAAAATGATTAGTAAGACATAATAAGGTGAAATGAATGCAAAGTAAATGAATCCTGTATTAAGGAGACTAATAACCACTAATCATAATAATGTGTAGATCACCAAAGTAGATTATCTATGTGGAATAGTTGGAGACCTACTC